TTCCACTGGCTTTGCAGAGGAAAGATATACTGTAGTCTAGAAGGTGTAGCCTCTAAAATACCGAAGGCAGGAACAGAGGCAGAAAGATTCTTATAAATTCTTGACTTTCTTTATGAATTTAGACACCAGGGTCAGAAATACAGTTGATTTATATGCCATCATGAGTCCCGTTGCTCCCAGGTGAAGCTCAGGTCTTTCCTCATCTGTATCTTTCTTTTCAGCTTTAATTTTTAATTCTGGTAAGATACACATAATGTAAAATTGACCATCTTAACCATTTTTAAGTGTTCAGTTCCTTACTGCTAAATGTATTCACACTGTTGAGCAACCAATCTCTAAAACTTTTCATTTTGTCAAACTGAAACTCTACACCCGTGAAGCAGTCGCTGTCCATTTTCCCTTTCTCCAGACCTTGGCAACCACCATTCTGCTTTCCGTCTCTGTACGTATACCTATTCCAGGCGCATCATGTAAACAGAATCACACAGTATTTGTCTTTGTGACTGGCTTATTTCACCTAGTTCAATGATCTCAAGGTTCATCCGTGTCATAACATACATTAGGATTTCCTTCACTTTTAAGGCTGAGAAAAACATTCCATTGTATGCACGAATCTGTTGTTTATCGATTCACCCGTTGCAGGACTCAGGCTGCTTCCATTGTTTGGTACTACAAATAATGTTGCGATGAACATGGGTGTGCCAACAGCACTTTGAGACCCTGCTTTCTATTCTTTGGGATATATATGCAAATGTGGAAATGCTCAGCCATACTTTTTCTACTCCTATTACCTTCCAACTACTACTAATTTTAACATTGTATCACTAAATTTTCACTCTTAAATTTGCTATGAATAGGCAGAGTTGAAAGGCAGATATATAGGAAGAGAAAGCTCTGTTTTCATGGGTGATCAATGTAAAGGATCACTTATATATATTGAGTTTCTTTTGTCTTTTGGCAGGGAGGAGTGTAATGTATCCATTTATGACTCTAATGAAGTCTATGGAGTCTTTCCTAGCCAAAAATACACATAGAAACATACATTCAAAAATACTGATAGAGCCCTGGCCGGTTTGGCTCAGCGGTTAGAGCGTCAGCCTGCGGTCCACAGAGACCCAGGTTCAGTTCCCGCTAAGGGCATGTACCTTGGCTGCAGTTTGTCCCCGGCCCTGGTTGGGTCGTGTGGGTGGCGGCCGCTCGATGTGTACCTTTCACATTGATGTTTCTCTCTCTTCCTCTCTCTCCTTCCCGCTCTATCTGAGTAAAAAATGGAAAAATGTCCTCGGGTGAGGATAAAAAAAAAAAATACTGATAGAGTCGTGCTTTTCTCTCTTTTTCATTCCTCACCTGAGGGTATTTTTCTATTTATCTTCAGATAGGATGGGAGGGAGGGAGAGAGAAAAACATTGATGTGAGAGGACACATCAACTGGTTGCCTCCTGCATGACCCTGACCAAGGCTGGCATGAACCACAACCAAGGTATGTGCCCTTGACCGGAATCTAACCCGCAACTCATTGGCCTGCGGGCCAGATGCTCTAACTGCTGAGCCAAACCAGCCAGGGCAGTCACACTTCTCTCAACGACGGGGATACATTCTGAGAAATGCATTGCTAGGTGATTTCGTCATGTGAACAGCATAGAGTGTGATTACACAGAACGAGATGGTATAGCCTTCCGCACACCTAGGCTACATGGTATAGTTCCTGGGCTACAAACCTGCACAGCAGGTTATTGTACTGAATATTGTAGGTGAATGTAACACGGTGTTAAGTATTTGTGTATCTAGACATATTTAAACACAGAAAAAGTAAAAACATGGTACGAAAGATCAAAGTTGGCACACCTGTAGAGGGCGCTCACCATGAATGGAGCTTGCAGGACTGGACGCTGCTCTGGTGAGTCAGGGAGTGAGTGGTGAGGGATGTGAAGGCCTGGGACAGTGCTGTCACTGCGGTGGACCCTGTAAACACTGTACACTTAGGCTGCAGTAGATTTATACAAATATATTTTTCTTTTTTCAGTAATAAGTTAACCTTAGCTTACTGTAACTTTTTTACTCTATAAAACTTTAAAGTTTTTCAAGTTTTTGACTCTTTTGTAATAACAGTTTAAAACACACTGTACAGCTATACAAAACTATTTTCTTTCTTTATATCCTTCTTCTCTAAGCTTTTCTCTGTTAAAAATGTTTTACTTCTTAAATTTTTTGTTAAAAAGTAGGATGCAGACAGACACATTATCTCAGGCCTCCACAGGGTCGGGATCATCACTGTCACTGTCCTTCATCACCACATCTGTCCCACTGCAAGGTCTCAGGGTAATACACTCAGAGCAGGCCTCTCCGATGATCACTGTCTAGGATGCAGACAGACACATTATCTCAGGCCTCCACAGGGTCGGGATCATCACTATCACTGTCCTTCATCACCACATCTGTCCCACTGCAAGGTCTCAGGGTAATACACTCGGAGCAGGCCTCTCCGATGATCACTGTCCTTCTGGAGCACCTCCGGAAGGACCTGACTGAGGCTCTCGAGAGGTGCCACCCTTCAGAGACATGTCCATGATGGTTGGCTGGTTTGTTTCTTTCAATGACAGATTTGCTTGTAAGCGAATAATGCACCATGAACTTTCCTCTCCATTAACGAAAAGCTTTCAGTGTTGGGGTCCACGTTTGTTTTCAAACTTTCTGAAGAGCTAGTTGAGATCTGCAAAAGCTTCTGCTAAATCCTTCACTGCGAATTTTCTTGAAGGGTCTTCTTTTTCTTCTTCTGCGGATTCCTTTTCTCTTGCCTCATCTTCAGCTCTGTGTTCCTGTTCCAGTTCCAGCAGCTCCTCGTTGCTTGATTCCTGCGAACAACCCTAGGAGCCCCTCAATGTCATCCCTATGCACAGCCAGCTTAAAGTTGTTTGCATTTCAGCCACAGCCTTGCTGATTTCTGCAGCTTCCGCATTCTTGGCAAATCCTTTGAAGTCATGGATGAACCTCTTAAGTGTCTTCATCACTCCTTGGTGACATCACCAAAGCCCAAGTGAGGTTCCTAATACAGTCACAGATGTATGCCCTCCAGAAATGCGCCAGTGTCTCCTCAGTTACAGCAATAGCCTGGCAAAGGTCCTCCTCGGGTAGTAGCCCTTAAACACTTCTGTAACTCCCTGATCCATTGGTTGAATCAAAGAGATGGTGTTTAGAGGGGGAAACACTACTTTGAGATTGGGATGAAGATCACTAATAAAAGGAGAATATCTGGGAGCACTGTCAACAATAAGCAAAATATTGAAAGGTACATTATTGTCCAAACAGCACTGCATTTTTCCGGCACAGCAATTCAGGAGGGTATCTTGGGGAAGAAGCTGAGTCACTGAGTCATTCATGATTTTTATTTCTCTTGTAGGACACTGGCAGTGTGTGCTTATTAATATGCTTGAAGGCCCTCGGGTTCTCACTGTGCCAGATCACAAAGGGTTTCTATTTGCAGCCTGCAACACTGCCACAAAGCAAGGCTGTTACCTGTCTTACAAGCCTGAAACCCCGCACTGACTTGGTTGTATTGGTGAAAGTCCTTTCAGGTGTCCGTTTCCAGGACAGGGAGGTTTCACCCACATTGAAGATCTGCTCTGGTAAGTCATTTTCCTCCACAGTCAGCTCATCTAGAGTTGCCAAAAATTCTTCTGCTGCCTTCACGTCAGTACCCACGACCACCACTCACTTTCACATTAGGATGAACAGCAGTTCTTGAATTGTTTAAACCACCAGAGCCAGCAGTGAATTCAACAGCACAGTAGGGTCCAGCCTCACCATTCAACATTCACACAATCTGTTTGCTTTGGCCACGATGGTCATGGTGCTAAAAGGGACGCGCCGCTGTGTCTGGTCTTCACTCCAGGTCATTAGAAGGCTCTCCATGTCTGACACAGGCCCTTCTCTAGTTGTCGTTAGGTCTCATTGTCTTCAATGAAGCAGATACTTTAAGAGCTCCTGTCCCTCTGCTCCAGTCTTCGAGGTCGTAGCTAAGGAGGAATTGGGCATGCCCGACTGGCAGGCAACAGCCCTCACTGATTCTCTACCTTCACAGTCCTTAATCACTTTTAGGTCAACTTCAGGTCAACCACTCAACATGGCCCCTTACTGGCAACATTAGCAGTGGATTCTGTGTGCTCAGGGGCATGACGAACAAAACAACGTGAGATTAAATCAAGCGCAGGAGAAAATAATGTAATCAAGAGATGTAGTGAACATGGGCATCTGAGGCTGCTGTCGGGCTGTCAGCATAAAACAGCCCGCTGTTCTACAGCAGACTTGTTGTTAATGTAAGTACAAGAGTACACGCTAAAGTCACAGTAAGACGTAAACTGCAGTGTATCCATACGCCCGTACATAGTCACCTGTTGTCATCACCAAGCATCACGCACCATAAACCCTGTGTGACACACCCTTGCGTGCCTGGCAGTGCGGCAGGCTTACACCAACATCTCCACAGGCATATGGTGACGCATCGAGCTATGACACTATAGCAGCTACAGCATCATTAGGCGACAGAAATTTTTTAGCTCCATTGTATGCGTGGTCCACTACTGACCACAACATCATGATGTGACGCGTTGACAGTATAATATAAGGCCATTCGTAAATTTCTGATATCCATCCATGGGCAATGCATTGTGAAGGTTATAAACTCTGTGAGGCTGAAATTGGGTTTCTAAATTCCAGTAAATGCTAAATACCAATAAATACTATCCAAACTCGAAGGACCACACGATTTAGATGTATCTGTGAGCCGTGAACCCCTACCCCTTGACCTCCAGTGTTAGCTAGCTCTGTGGGCATCGTTGGACCCCAGGCCCCAAACAGTGAGGAGCGCTGCTTGTCTTTTGCACAAGCTCCTGAAGACGACGCGCATGATGCTGAGTGAGGCATGTGGCGGAAATGACGGAACACGTGAGTGAAAATTCAGTATAAAGATCAGTAAATATGACAGAGGATAGAATTTGACTCACAAAATCTGTTTCAAGTTTTCCCATTTCTTGCTTGTAGCTTCTCATTCTGTTGCTGTACATTCCTCGACTTTGGGGTGGTATCTCCCGAACTTCTAAATCCATCTGTTCAAGCTGGCAGGGTGAGAGAAAAGCGTGATTTAAACCATTCAGCTGTGGCTGAAATGCAAACAACTTTAAGCTGGCTGTGCATAGGGATGACATTGAGGGGCTTGTTCTTTATTTGACCAGATATTTAGAGCTGAAAGGGTTAAAACATTTTTTCCTTTAGTAATTTTAGAGAGAAAGGAAGGGAGAGGGAGAGAGAGATAGAAACATCGATGAGAGAGAACATGCCCTCCAGCGACTTCTTGGTACATGGATCAATGCTCAACCACTGAGCCACACCGGCTGGGCTAGAGCTGAAAGAATTTAATTTCCATTCCTCATTTTACAGTTGAGGAATCAGGCTCTGGGAGCTAACTGCCTGTGACTATTTTGGGGCTTAATTTTTGTTTAGGTGAACATATAGTTACTGTGTGCTTGCCAAGTAACACACAGAGTACCAAGGCACTTAGCTGACCAAGAATTTCTATGAAAACATGTGCATTAATCCCGACATCCTTAATAAAAATTATTTGAATATGCTTCGAATATCCCGGGATAAGGTCAACCTGGTTAGGTATTCTGACCCCAAACTACCAGAACTATGGGAAGATCAACCAAACCATTATTTCTAACATTTAAGCACAGAATGTCTGCCCAGCCTTAGTCATTTGGTAAAAATTCTTCTGGAAAGTCTTTTCTGATTAGGAAAATCACATGTAATCTCAACCTCCAGCTTCACTCCTTATACTTTAAAACCACGTTGATTTGGAGTTAAATGGATACAGTAAAATGCTAAATTATTTGTCACAAAGCTCACTGAAATCACAGCAGGGCACTTTTTAACAACCTGTCATTATATAACACTTCAAATACAACAGATGAGCATCTAATGTGAGGCAATACAAAAATATAATGATGGTTAACAACATAGGCTTTTAAGTCAGATGCCTGCGTTCACACTCATTTAGGACCACAATGCAGTAACAAGTTGAATCATACTTGTAATATTTGGCTTTTAAAACCAAACACTGGGCCACAATATTTTTTGTTCTCTGTGAATGTATTCATATTTAAAAAGTACTGGATGAGCTAGAGCTCTGAGTTTAGCATATATAGATACAAATCCTTACTCCATCATTTACTGGGTGTGGACCTCAGACAAGTTACTTAATCTTCTTCAGTTTTCCCATCTACAAAATGGGGGGTGGGGTGTAATAAGTGTTGAAAATCACTCCTCCATGGTTTTCTCAGACTCCTAGAAGTCTTGCGGGCATGCCAAGAATGCAAGGCCCTGGACATTCTCAAGGCTGTATTGGCACTTTGGGAGGAGGAGCTAATGTGTCCTCCTGGGACAAAGGGAAGGCTTGCTTAAAGGCCGCTGTAAAGTGGTACGTTTCCCAGGCTCCACGCTCCTCTCCTGTAAGACAGTCCACTGTGTGTGTAGGCTTACATCTAGGGCCACCTGCATCACTGCTGTGGGAACTGGGGCTCAGGGAACTAATACAAGGATGCTCACACTCTGGCAGCTGCTTCTGCTGTGAGTAATAAAAGCCTTTTGTCTCTGACCCAGGCATCTCATTTCTTCTCTCAGCATCCATGAAATTGTGGCAATCTCACTTATTAGTGAGCAAGCAGGGAAAACAACTCAGATCCTTAACAGTTTTTGACAAACAGGACTTGTCTTGCAGAGTTTTTATGAAAATTAATATTATAAAGCAAGTAAAATATGTGCCTGGTACCCAGTACGCCTTTAACAAGCAGTAGCTATTATAAAAATGTACTACCAAGGAATAAAATCCCAAGAAACTATCAAATTCTCTTCGATTTAAAAACAAATTTTAATTTATAAAACGCTAATTAGTTGTTTCACATTCCTACAATGTATAAAACAGGCTAATGGAAGGCATCAGCCTCAGTGCCTCCGGCCGTGTGTGAAGGTGTATTACCAAGTCTGTACCTACCAGTTCTTTTGCTTCTTCAAGCTGTTTCTCCACATTTGCAACCATCTGCTTCTTCTCATCTGAAACAAACCATAACACCAGAACATTGCTAAGGATATAAATATATTCAATATTTAAAAATTTCTATTTCTGCATACCTTTTTCCTTTCTGGTCAATCAGATTAGAGAATTACCATACCAGTCAAGTGACCACATCGTTCTTTGGTGGGTTAGAAACCACTCAAAAGCGGCTAATTCTAGGCTATCTAGAAATACATAATCTTACGAAGTACCCAGTGATTAAGGGATGCCATAAATTATTTTGTTCTTTAGAAGAGACTGTGTCAACAACAGCAGGTGTAGTGGTGGCATGAGGACTCTGCAAAATCTTCACTATAATAAACTGGGAATAACTGATTTACAGATACAATTTATTAACCCTCACCCGAGGCTATTTTTCCATTAATTTTTAGATGGAATGGAAGGGAGGAAGGGAGAGAGAGAGAAACATCGATGTGAGAGAGACACATAGATTGGTGGCCTCTCGCATGATCTCAGTTATGTGCCCTTGACCAGAAATTGAACCTGAGACGCTTCGGTCCCAGGGCTGACGCTCTACCGCTGAGCCAAACCAGCCAGCTAATACACAGATACAATTTAAAAGTCACAGGAAAAAAAAAAAAAAAAATTCCTAAAACTAGGCAAGATCTTACAATCTTTAAAAACCTGTACTTCTGTTAACATTAAGAATTGGGTGTAATGAAAGATATAGTTGAAGTCAGGAGTACCGATTCCAAATCTAAAGTCTCTACCTAGTCACTGATTATGGAATGCTGGGTAAGACACAGTTTTTTCTGAGACTGTACTTTCAAATCTGGAGATTAAAAAATACCCACTGGAGCCCTGGCCAGTTTCGCTCAGCAGTTAGAACATTGGCCTGCGGACCAGAGAGTCCTGGGTTCGGTTCCTGCTAAGGGCACGTACCTCGGTTGTAGTTTGTCCCCGGCCCCAGTTGGGGTTGTGTGGGTGGCAGCCACTCGATGTGTCTCTTTCACATCGATGTTTCTCTCTCTCTCTCTCCCTTCCGCTCTATCTGAAGATAAATGCAAAAAAAAAAAAAAATGTCCTTGGGTGAGGATTAAAAAAAAATACCCACTGGATTATCTTTGCTTCAAATAAGCTGGTACAAGTGAAATTACTTTTAAAATGTGAAGTGCCAAGTCTCTGTATGTGGTTTATTCAAACTCTACCAAAATCAAGTTCTAACTGAACTGTAATTCCCTTTTCCAGGAGACACAGGTCCTGGCAGATGTTTTCAGAAAACATTCTCCTACCCCCATTCCAAACCATTTGTTCTGAGACTGCACTTACGTTCTGTACTAACCAAATTCATTGAACATCTGTCGTTTTGTCTGCCCGGCACCCTATTTATTCTCAGGCTCTCCTTCCTCAAGCAGGTTAATTGGAGATGTTACCCTGCCTTTCCAGTCACAGTGACTTGACAAAAGACGGGCTCCTTGGCACAGCTGGTGTAGCTCAGTGGATGGAGTGTCGTCCCATGGACTGAGGGGTCCCAGTGCGATTCCTGGTCAGGGCACATGCCCAGGTTGCGGGCTCAATCCCCAGTAGGGGGTGTGCAGGAAGCAGCCGATCCATGTTTTGCACATTGATGTTTCTATCTCTTTCTCCTTTTCTCTCTCTCAAAAATAAATAAATAAATAAATAAACAAACAAACAAACAAACAAACACACACACTTTAAAAAAACTCCTCATCCTAGCTGGACCATCCTAGTAACTCAATCCCTCTGGCCACACTGGTCTGGCAGGTGGGGTGGACACATGACTCAAGCTGACCGACTGAAGTCCTGGAGCAATGGGAAAGTCTTTCCCTCCCTCCTGGCAGAGTTATGAGAACAGGAGTTTAGAAGCTGTTGGCATCCATTGTCCTAGCTACAAAGAGAGTGAAACTGACATTTAAAAAGAAACAAAGCTGCCCTGGCCGGTTTGGCTCAGCGGTTAGAGCATCAGCCTGCGGTCCGGAGAGTCCCGGGTTCAGTTCCCGCTAAGGGCACGTACTTCGGGTGCAGTTTGTCTCCGGCCCTGGTTGGTCATGCGGGTGGCAGCCACTCGATGTGTCCCTTCACGTCGATGTCTCTCTCTCTCTCTTTCTTCCTCTCTCTCCCTCCCACTCTATCTGTACAAAAAATGGAAAAATATCCTCGGGTGAGGATAAAAACAAAAAAAGAAAAAGAAACAAAGCTGAGAGGTAGATAGATAAGACAGAGAGACAGACAGATACAAATAGATTAGATGAAGTTAGTTAATTAGTTTTGGTTCCAGACAATTCTGAAACAGATTTTGCTTAATTTTGCATGGTCAGATTTCTTGAACAAACAAGTTTCCTTTTTTTTTTAACTTACAAGTTGGGTTTCTGTGACATGGACCTTGATGATTACTGACTGACAAACACAACAGACTAGAAAAGTTGGGAAGCTTGAAATGTATAATATAACACTTACTGGCTGACTACCCTTCAGAAGGAGAGTCAACACTAAATGGGGAATCTTTAGTAGGAATTATTATTTTACAGGAATAATAATTAGGTTCTGCTAACCCCAAACCTTTCCCTTTAGAGGGTGGCTGTCACAAGGTGTTCTGTGTACTCTAGTCCATGCCATGGGCCTCCAGGAGTAGTTTACACCAGTATTTCTCATTAACAAAGTCAAACAAAAAAAGTAGCCTCCCTTGACCTCAATTCACCTTTGCTGCTAACATCTCTCTCCTTCCAGCTACAGTCCCGTTTCTCCTCCTCCCCGCCCCAGTTCCTCCCTGTAACTGTGCCCATACCCCAGCACTGCACTGAGATGACTCTCACTAAGACTAATGACCTTCCCTTTGCCCAAACTAATGGGCATGCCTTGGTTTTATTTTTATTTAATCTGTGGCACCTGACATTCAGCTCCTCCAATCCTCCCACCTACTCCTCTCCTGGCTTCAAGGACACCCTGACTCCGTGACTCTCCCGAACGCTCACTTCTGTCTCGATGTCCTCTGCTGGGCATCCTTTCTCAGCCCTTGTTTTAACTATTGGTGCTCCCTGCAGTTTAGTTCTTGCTTTATTTTTCTCTATGACTATCACTGATGTCCCTGGGCAATTTCATCTGCTCCCATTTATTAACTATCACATTATCTATTTATGATGCTAAATCTTTATTACTAATCCTGATATATTTCCAGGACTCACCTTTAATCCCAATGCTTATGCTCATCTCCACTGTAATCACCTGGCAAACCGCTATTCAACACTCTTCAGAAATCACTACCTCTGTGAAGCCTTTCCTAACCCAACACGAGTAAACCACTTCCACTTATGTACAACACCTGTGACTTTTACCTGATCTTAATGATTTTCTCTCTCACACCTACCGGTCTTATTTGCTTTCCATCCTGGAGGCTCTGGGAGGACAGAAACTGTCTTAACATCTTTATAGTCTTAAAATCCAGCACTGAGCCTGGCATATAATCAGTTCTCAAAAAATGATATTAGATTGAATAAACAGTGTAGGTTGGTGCAAGCGTTGATAAAAGAAGCTATGCTACCAACCACCTGGTTTCCCTGTCTCCATCCCTCCACCATGTAATCTTCCTACAACTTCCTTCGCTTGCATTGGGTCACTTGAGCCTAGCAGTCAAGGTCCTCCACATTCCAAACCCAAGCAACCTTTCCAACTTTAATTCCAACTACTGGCCTTCCACTATGTGCTCTATATGCTAACCAGGCCAACTATCCATTACTACAGAAACAAATCTTTTTCTGCTCTAAGCCTTTGTTCAAGCTACCATTTAGGGTCCTTTGATCAACTATAACAGAACTAATTCTGGTTAATCTAAGCCCCCCAACAAGCAAACAAAAAGGAATTTATGAGAATAACATGAGGTGGCTCACCAACTCCATAGAAAAAAATAAGCCCACAAGTTCCAAGAGGACAGTGCCCAGGATGGCTCTGCGTACCCAGGGAGCAGGAACTCACTGACTATCTCTGCAAAAGGACAGTCTCAAGCAGCAATGCCATAGATTTGTGTTGTTTGTCCTTCTGAAGGGCCCTCTTCTTAGCTCAATCTGCTCAAAATTTAAATGCCCACCCAACATTCTCTGAATGTCCTTGTTTGGTTAACGCATTCACATCCTGGCCTGGATAGGGCACGGCAGCCTGGCAGTTCTGAGATTGGGCTTAGGTAGTTCCTCAGTGGAAAACTGAGGTGCTGCCATCAAAAGATAAAATGGAGGATTCTGGGAAATCTGAAACAACAGACGTCCTCTGCACCCACTTACTGCCATCCCTGATAATATGCTCTGTCCCCAGTTTTGTCTGTCAAATCCCACCTACCCTTCCACATGATCACCTGGGACACAATTTCTCTCCTCTGAATTCTCAGACCCCCGTGCTCTGCACTGATGGCCTCAATGATCATTAGAAATTCTATAGTTTTCTCTTCAGCCTCATTTCCAGCTCCTTGAAGGCAGGGACCGCTCTTGGCACATCTCTGTCCTAATTCTGTATTGAGCACAGAGAGCTGTACATGGCAGGTGCTCACTAAGTAGCAATGAGCACACGTAGTGTCCAGACCTTGGTTTCTAACACCATTTTTCAATAAAAGAAAACAGGACTCCTTGGGAAATGGTTGATTCTAGGACAGGCATAGGACAAATACAAGAAGATCCTTGAGTATCTTCTAAGAGGTAAGAAGATAAGAAAGTACTCTAAAGGAAAAAACACCCCACAAAGATGGGGGTAATCAAAAGGCGAAAGAAGCCAACTGAAGGGGCTTTCAATGGTTAAAGTTGGAACACTCTGAACCACAAAATAAAGTAGGACTGGAATGTAACACCAAATAAATATCACGAGTCCATGGATATAAGTGACTGAACAAGTAAGCAAAATGAGAATAGACAAATCTCTCCTGCAGAGAAGAATTCCAAAATATTGATGTAAACACAAAGCCTAAAGTGTGGGCTCTGCATAGAATTTCCTTCTGAACAGTATGGAAAGGAGGAAAAGAGTATCTTCACAGTGGAGAAACCTGACAAACACGACCTCAGCCAGGTGATCAAAGTGAACATCAGTAGTAAATTATGTTCCAGTATGTACTCTTGATATGATATGATGAAAACGGTGTTTTACCTCTGTGGTCTTCCTCCCGAAAACCTATAACCTCAGTCTGACCATGAGAAAGACATCAGGAAAATCCCAGTTGAGGTACATTCTGTGAAATAACTGACCAGTACTCCTCTAAAGTGTAGCATCACTAATAACACAGGAAAACCTGAGAAACTGTCACAGCTAAGCAGAGCCCGAGGAGCCATGACTACTACCTGGATTGGACCCTAGAACAGTGAATGGATATTAGATTAAAAAAAAAAAAATCTAAGGAAATCTGAATAAAGTAAGGAGTGCAGTTAATAATAATGTATCAATATGGGTTTCCTGGCTACCATACATTAATATAAGATGTTAACAATACAGGAAACTGGGCCTGGGATATAAAGGAATTCTCTGTATTGTCTTTGTGATTTTATATAAATCTAAACCTGTTCTAAAATTAAAAGCTTATTTTAAAAAAATCAATGAAGCCATTACTTAGGTTAACTAAGTTGGTGACAGGAGAGAGGTCCCTCTGGGGTTAGAGTGTGGTGTGATGTGTGTGTGCATATACCTAACTCAAACCCACCCACTCCACTTCAACTCACTCTGCACCTGAACTCCTGAATTCAAACTGCAACCAAACCTCAATTCTAACTCTTTGTCTAGAACAACAGAAACGTAATGCATGAGAATCATGTGTGATTTTAAATTTTCTAATAGCCAAAGTAAAAAGAAACAAGTGAAATTACTCTTAATAATCTTTTAGTTTTAGCACTGGCCTGTTTGGCTCAGCGTTGGCCTGCGGTCTGGAGAGACCTGGTTCAGTTCCCGCTAAGTGCATGTACCTCAGTTGCAGTTTGTCCCCGGCCCTGGTTGGGTCGTGTGGGTGGCAACCACTCAATGTGCCCCTTTCACGTCGATGTTTTTCTCTCTCTCTCCCCCTCCTACTCTATCTGAACAAAATATCGAAAAATGTCCTCAAGTGAGGATAAAAAAAAATAATAATAACCTTTTAGTTTTAATCATATTTAACCCAACATAGACAAATTATGTTCATTTCACTATGTGGCAGTAGCCACATTTCAGGTGCTCAGTGAACAATCAGCTCCAGAGCCACACATGTTTTAAGCAAGCCACAGTATTCATAAATAAAAGCATATTCTTCTGAAATCTCTCACTACAACCACCTTGCAAAGGCAAGTGAGAATCTTGGAACAACATTTATGGCTTCTTCCATACATAGCTCTGTCTGGTCTCCACAAGTCTCTAGGGCTTGGCATAACTAATCAACCAGACTTGAGCATTTCCTTCCAGAAAAGACACTGTCCTGCCCAAGCATTTCCACTTCTCTTCTGATTCCCTCCTTGATACCCAAAGTTAAAATCCAGTTCCTACTTCATATCCCAAAGTCCCTGATATTAGTCTCCCTTCAAATGTAGGTGTTCATCAAGAGAGATTCATCTAACTCTAGGCACAGAAAGGGAGAAAGAAGTGAGAGCCAAGGTTCCATTAAAAGTTCAATTAATATAATCGAGTTTGCAAAGCTGAGTCCTGACTAACCCTACCAGCTTCTGGCTTCAGCAGTAGCAATAACATCCATCACTCGTGGCTAATTCATCATGTACTTTCGGGGGGGGGGGGGGGGGTAGTATGTTACATGCTTTATTTCATCCGATTTTTACAACATTATAACTTTTAAACTAATACTTCCTGCTTACCCAGTTTTACAGATGGAGGAAGCAGGCTTAGAAAGACCAAGCAATCTGCCCAAAATTACACATCTAGTAAGTAGCAAAGTTGGGATTCTAAACAGACCTGATGCCACAGTGTGAATCTTAACTTATTTGCCATAATACCTTTCTTGGTATTTCTGACTTAAATAGCCACAAGTGATAGGATTCACAATAGTCTATTTCTCTCTCTTTTAATGGTGAGTTATACAACTAACTACAAGAGAACACTGTGTTTAAGGTCCTCCAGGAAGCTGCCTGATGTAATGGAACCTCTGCACCTGTAGAGTTCTAACTTAGAATTCATCACCAGAGGAAAAAGAACTCCACAATTAGTATTAGTTATGGTCTCCACTCATCCATTTCCCTGGCTTTACCACAGAAGACTAATTATTAAAATCAAATTTCAAATACAGTGCCATAGAGTATTAATTACCTAAGAAGGGAGTGGCCCATCTAATCAGTCCAATTTCTAAAATTAGTTAAGATTCAAACACGTAGTCTAAGAGCAAAGTCTTTTTATTGTTGAAAACATATTACAGAGCAATCAAATTTATTTTAAAAATTTTAAAATATTCAGTCCTTCTATTCTCTTTGAAAGTAACACTTTAAACATTGTACATGCACAGTAAGAGTGAAGGTCACTGCGATCAGCCTATTCACCACACTTCCACTTAAGTAAGTTAATATGTTGGAGAAAGAACTGCTTTGACGAAAAAGTTTGCTCCAACTTTTAACCTTCTTAAATGAAGTATTTCATAGTACATCTCCTCTGGATCAACCACTAATGATGCCCAGAGAAAGAGATTATAATTACTTTTAATCATACTCTCTGCCATATTAATTTCTTTTAGTCCACAAACATATATCTAAAATTTATAACTATGTAGATATGTTTTCATTTTTTCTATTTATCAATTAGAAACAGATTATAAAAGTGAGCAAGCCCAAATAACTATTAAGAGGGAAACCACTGCATTTTTAAGAAGTCACCAGTATTCAATTATTCAAGTCAGTAAGCATTCTTCCAGTGCCAGCCATAGTCTCCTTTCATTTTCAATGGAGTTGCTGTGTTTGGGCCTTACATTATACTATAGCTAAGGAGAGTCTAGGCTTTATTTTTAAGATACTTAATCCCAAGGTTTCCTTCTATGTGTTAATAATGTTTACATTAAAATATAAAGACAAGAAAAAAAATAAATTGTAACACAACCGGTTTTCTTGTAAACAGTTTTTACAACTTTGAACCCAGAGATGGCTTTGTTACTTCATAACATAGCTTCCCAGTACAAAACTAATTATCCTAAATAAAAAAGTGTTCCTACTGCTAATGCTATTACAATAAAAAATGAGCAAAAATCCAACTGAAACCATAAATCCTCATATTCTGAGGCTCTGGGACTGAAGTCAAAGGAAGTAATCTCCAACAACAAAGACAACAAAAATCAAGATGATCGTGGGGAGTGGAGAACTGAAGAGAAGAGGCGAGGCGATGTATCATGAAGTGGTGAGGCCATCAGCCACTTCCTCCACAAAAATCTCTGAGGCAGCAGAGCTCGGTGGTATATGCTACCTTGGTTCTCTCCTCTTGTTCCCTCACTTGGACTCATAAACCTCTTTAAGGCATCATCCACCTCCTCCAGAACTAACTGGGACTTCAGGAGATGAGTGGGGTGTAAGTTCAGAGATCCTGGCTTCAAGCACATACCCCTATTAACAGAAAACAGGTGGGGGAAGAAAAACAAAGAAATAAAGGAAGAATATTATTTATAAACACATAAGTTTGGGGGAAGGTAGGGAAAGGGAAAGAGGAATGACAACTCTTTGGTCTGGAAGAAATTATTGCTGGTATCAAGGACTGACTAACAAAGTGAGACAGTTAAGTTGTGCACCAGTTCACAGATCAATGAGCACTCCTTTTTCTATTTTACATCCCAGAGCTAAGGCAGGACCAAGTCTAGCATCCCAATGATGGTTCAATTTCACTAACACAACTAGGCCAAACAGTAACAATCTTATCTGCAACCAACTACTCAAATTAAATCTGTATTTAGAGAAAGAGAAATCCTAAAACAATGTCTTAGAAACAAAAATCACAAAACATCACACTTAAATGTTGGTTCATTCACTTAAACATTTACCTCAGCCGCTTCTAAATAAACACCAGTGAAATAAAACATAACTCCCACTTCCACACAGTTGACAGCCTAGCATAAAAGAAAGATGTATTAAACAGAAAAACAAAAACACTTCTGGATGGAAGTTATGGAATTTTAAAAGTGAGAGAAATTATCCTGAACCAAGTTTTACATAACACTGGGTTATAGACACCCCCTCCCCCCCGCAAGAAGAATGAGAATAAATGGTGTTAGGGGTATGAAAAACACTAATGATAATAGCAGTTAACACCAAGGAAAGGCTTTACATAAGTTAAATAATTTAGTCATCACAACAACCCTATGAAAGACCTACAATTGCCCCCATTTTATCAAGAAGGAAACTTGAAAGAGGTTAAGAAACTTGCCTAAAGGTCAAAACTGCTAAGTAGCAGAGCTGGGATTTGAATCCAGGCACCATGGCTCTTAACCCAGTTTTGCTGCATATAATAATAACGTCATTATTGATAAAAACAACGTCAGACCCAGCATCTAGGTATATTCATTCATTCTCTTTGAACACTCTCACATCTCTGTATTTTGCAAACGAAAAACAAAACAAACAACCAAAAATCTAAGACGCAGAGAAACATTCCCAAGATTACGCAAGTAACAAGGCGTCGGACTCCGGAATGGAGCCCAGGAGAGCTCTGTTTACTGCACCCCACAACTCAGATTGGACTGTCCCTTTACCCTCAAGCAAGTTAAGCTCCGGAGGGCCCCAGCTCCACCTCTCTGCAGCCTCGCGCCCCGGAGACACCCTAGCTCTGACGGCGAGCCGTCGCCCACCACCCGAGCCTCCTGGCTCTGCGGGCCACCCCGGCCCAGCCAGGCAGGGCTCTCACCCGGCGGGAGTCGGGGGACCCTGGCAATCTTGCTTGTGATCTCTGCAGTGAGCACCGCGAAGTCCTGCTCGTAGCCTTCGAAGTCGGACGACATGGCGACTCTGGAGACAGACCCGGGCCGGAGCCTAGGTCCGGGCACGCAGTGGTCACGCGGAATAGGGGAACACCGCGTAGGAACCCTGGGAGCCGCCGTCGCGAGCAGAGCGGAGAACCGGGGACAGCTCCCAGCCCGGCCGCTTCCTTGTTGTCCGCCGCAATCTCTGTCCCCCGGAAATCGGGTTGCGTATGCTTTTTACTTTCCTCTCAGGCTTCAAAATCAACAAATTCTCCAAGGAAAAGCACTTTAGTGCTCCTAAAAGCCCCTCAAAATATTCGTTTCCTAAGGGGCCACTGAAAGATTTTTTTTAACCCCTCCACGTTCTAGAAAGCGGGTCCAGCTCTCCAAGCTACAGGTCACAGGAGCTGGCTTCCGGGGGGAAGTTTGATGCGGCGAACTTTCCGGAAGTGGCCGTCACGGAGACTGCGCGCCGGGCGTGAGCGGGAGAACGGCGGCCAGATCGCTGGCGGCGAGACCCGCGCGTGGTGTCGCTCCCGCACCCCAGCCTCTAGCAACCAGGATTTGCTTTCACCTTGTTCTGGACTGAGGGACCCATGATTGAGTTACCCGAGAAGGAGAAAACCCGTTCCGGGTGAGCCCAGGCCGCCCCGGAAATGCGATGGCGGAGGAGCGGGCACCCAGGACCAGACAGAGGTGGGAGACGAGGCTGGAGATGTAACCATGATTTTGGCGGTCACCACCCCACCCGAGGGAGGCCAGAATCGCCAGTGCTTTGGGACCACCCACGTTTCCCAGGATGTTCCTCTCCTGAGTGAGGATTTCTAAAAGCTCTACTCCATGACGCGGGCGGGAAACGGAGGCAGGGGCAGCGGCATCCGTTGCGTGGAAGTCTTGGTTACCCTGTGTCTCGGATCGTCTTCCCTCGGCCCGCTGCAGTTTCATCGGGCATACCCGTCTGCGAGTCTTCCCGGCGCGCTCTGCGGCGGGGAACTTCCTCCCCTTTTCTTCTGAAATATTCTGATTCACGTTCTTTTTTCATATCTGGCTGCAGACGTGATTTCACACACACCTCCGTCTCTCCTCTGCTTACATTTGTCTTTGCTTTCCCTCTCTCGCTTCCTTTCCTTTGGCCCAAGTAGATCCTTACGTTGGTGTTTTGGGGGCAACCGCAGACAAATAATGTAGACCATGTCGGGCTCATACCTGACTTAATTCGAGACTGGGTACGAGGTAGATTAGAACTCCGTAAAGGGCGTTGGATGACTTGGTTCAGCTGTTATTTGTCCTTGATCTAATCACGTAGCCTCTCCAAGCCACTTTCTTTTCTATGAACAAGATAGCTGGATTAGATCGACTCTAAAGTCCTGCTTCCCGGCTCTAAAATTCTTTGTCTCCTCAAACCATTTGCTAAATGTTGAAGAGTCACAGCCCCCAGACAATCATGTGTCCAGTTTACATGCTATTTAGACTGGAACCCAATTTGGGGTAAGATAAAAATAGGTGGGTTTTTTTTGGGGGGGGGGTTGGCATTTGACAAGCTATCACCCCATGGTAGGGCATTTGTGAGATGCTTTTGTTTAGGTGGTTATTTGAGTTAAGTATAGTGTGTAATAAAAATTTTACTGAACTATCTCATTTTGTTTTTTTTTAGATTGGGCTTCAAACTGGATTCTCCTGGTTCAGATAATGAGCTCTGAGTGTGTAACAGTGACAATGGCATAATCTGCATTAACATCGCACAACTTGAAGACATGACAATTAAGGAACACACATTGACTTGTGGCACATGGATATATGTGCACAAAAAAAGGAAATCTATAATGCTTTAAAGATAGGAAGACATTCTTCCTCACCAAAATGGGTACATTCTGCTCAGTTATCAAGTTTGAAAATCTCCAAGAATTAAAGAGACTGTGTCACTGGGGTCCCATTATAGCCCTTGGTGTTATAGCAATATGTTCTACAATGGCTATGATTGACTCTGTGTTGTGGTATTGGCCCTTACATACAACTGGAGGAAGTGTGAATTTCATCATGTTGATAAATTGGACTGTCATGATTCTTTATAATTACTTCAATGCCATGTTTGTTGGTCCTGGCTTTGTCCCTCTGGGGTGGAAACCGGTAAGAAAAAGATCGCCTTTAGATGATGAACTCTAATGATAATCTAATGGTAATTTAGTTTTTGCGTTACCTTCTAACCAATAATATCAAACACTGACTGCTTTTTACCTTGGTAGAGACTAAGTATATTGTAATTACTGGTCATTTAAAGCTCAAATTATTTATTTCATGCCTGTTTAAAAATATTGATTTAAATGAGTATTTCCCAAAGCAATTTCATTCAGTACTTGGCTGGCATTAAAAAAAAAAGTTGGAGGGTTGATGGTGAGCATCGTCGTAAGTTTAGGAAACACTGCATATCACACACCTTATAGTTTCACAATGCAGTTTGGTTCTAGAATCTTTTTACATATAATACATTAACATCTTTAGAATTGAGAAAATCTTTAGAAACTGTTTGTTTAAATCGGAAAATTTTAAATCAATGCAGTGAAAATCGGGAAGTACAGTATGAACCAGTTTATGTCTCAAAATGTGTTAAAAAGTTTATGCTTAGGAGTTTCTTCATTCCTTGTTGAGGCACATCACCTGGTAGCTTGTTAGAAATGGAGAATCTTGAGCTCCACTCCAGACCTACTGAGTCAAAATCTGCATATAATGAAATCCCCAGATAATTCTTAAGTATGTTAAAAGTGACAAAATACTAGTGTAATATTTGAAGTAAATAAAGAAGTGGGTAAGACACAATTCATATTCTGAAAAATCTTGTAACTGAGGAGAGAAACCAAGGCACTTTCTCAGATAACTATAGAGTAGAATGTGATGAGTGCTGGCGAAGTTAGAAGGAACTGATCATTTTCATCTGGGGAACTATGGAGGAGTGGGAATTTCCAAAGGAGATGGGAAGATGGCATTTCAGGTTGAGAGAATTGTGGGAGTATGTATTCAGAAACAATGGACAGATTATGTAGTGCAAATAAGGCTGAAACAAAGGCAGATAATGGCCTCAAATACATGAGCAGTTGTTAGGCTGTAGAGAGTTACCAGAGGTTTTCAAGCAGAGCTCTGACATAGTCAGTCCTATTGTAGGAATATTATTGAGTATCAACTCTGATGTTTGAATCCTTACTCTAAATATCTGCCAAGTTGTCAGCTACCTTTTTTTCTGAACTTCTCCCATCCTACTAAGATTTTGGATAAGTGCAGCCAGCTATCCTCAATGACAATGGATTAGGGTTGCATATAGGGAATAGAAATTAAAAATGAAGTCTGGTTATCTAGGAAAGTGATGCTGCTGTTACCAGAAATTTTTTACTTAAAAATATTTTAGCTCAAATAAAAGGGCTGGAAGTATAAGTTAAGATTTCACCCTTCCCCCATCCCCCCATAAGAGAAAATTAAACCATGGGAAAGCATTTATTCATGAGTCTGGTTATTATTTAGAATCAGTTATCTGATGTATTTTTTTTTTCATATTTTGCTGCTAAGGAAAATTCTCAGGATAGCAGGTACCTCCAGTACTGTCAAGTCTGCCAAGCATACAAGGCACCGCGGTCACATCACTGCCGAAAGTGTAACAGGTACTGTCTGTCTTTGCCATTCACTGGGGACTGATCAGCTTGACGACTGATCTTTTGTTCTTTCTGCCACATCAATCCTAGTTCTATTCTCTGCAAGGTGGCTATTATATAAAAAAAATATATAGTCAAAATACTTATGCCCATAATCTCCATATTATCTTAAATTATCAATTCTGATAATAAATTCATCTCTTTTGTTATATGTGAAAAGATTTTTCTAGAAAAATGGAGCTTGACTTTGCTTCTTGCCCTGCCAAGAGCACAATAGAAAGTTAAACCTTCCAGTTGTTTCCATAGATCACAATGAGCTGTGCTGGTTGACTGTCCTCTCAACTAGCTTTTGAACTGTTCTGAGTCTGATGATGGAAGAGAGCTGCTGTTTCCAGTAGTTGACGAACATTTACACTTTATACAAATCTAATAAATGTATCCAGGTTCCTATTATCACAGTGTTTAATATAAAAACTTAATGGGAAGAAAACTGAAACACTATAAAAATGTGAGATAAGCTAGAGCCTTTAAAAATGAACAGCCGTATCCACTTATTAATAAGAGCTTTCTGATGAGGATATTGAGGTTGAGGGGAACCATGGAGGCAAATACAGTTGGCTTGAGACCAGATTTTCTTCCAGCAACAACGGGAAGGAAGCCAGTAAGACTTCACTTATCACACCACATCTTATATTCAGTAGTTGCTTGCTTAGCTCAGAGATTCCTCTTCTCAAGGATGAGGGCAGGCAGGAAGGAAGTTACAAGTGTCTCCTGGGTGCCATCAACCCCAGTGGAAATTTATATGTGATTTTGTTGAGTCTCTGTTGTACCCCATTTCAGTCACTGCATTTCAGAGCCAGAGGAAAACTAGGAACCATGCTCCTTTCTTCATAATGAACCTCTCAGAGGGCCTCCCAACTTCTTTAAACAAACTCACAGGGAGCAGACATCTTTTCCTCAGGGCTGTTACAAAGCCTGCCCTTTCTTATGCTGTTCAGAATTTAAAAGAAGTAACTGTTCAGAGTTGTTTAAAAGCTCATAAAGATATTTCTTTCTGTTTCATGAATTGTAATTCTGCTCTTTGAGTCATGAACATGCTGGCTTTCTATTTGCTTGGTCTTTTTCTTAATCCTCACCCAAGTATATGTTTTTATTGATTTTAGAGAGAGAGGGAGGGGGAGAGAGAGAGAAACATGGTTGCCTCCCATACGTGCCTCTACCAGGTTCAAACCCACAACCTTTTTGGTGTACAAGACGATGCTCCAACCAACTGAGCCATCCAGCCAGGGCTGCTTGCTCTTTTGAAGACCAAAGTTATTTAAAGTAGACAGGATTGCCTGCCTCATATTTTATGTAAATGTTTCTTGTTAGGTGTGTGCTGAAGATGGACCATCACTGTCCTTGGATCAACAACTGTTGTGGTTACCAAAATCATGCTTCCTTCACACTGTTTCTCTTGTTAGCACCATTGGGTTGTATTCATGCTGCCTTCATTTTTGTTATGACGATGTATACACAGCTTTATAACCGGGTAAGTGAAAATGTAGGTCATTTGAGCCAGATTAAATGGTAGTTATCGAGGTTATTTAGGAAGTCTTTTTTGGAAATATACTTTCTATGATTTAGGTGGGGAAACAGAACTTTTCTTTACCCCTAAATGGATTCCCTTTTTAAAAGCATTAAAACTTAATTTTTAAGACAAAGAAAGATTATTTTGCTCTGGCAACTCACCTTCCTAGCTCCAGTTGAATTGCTCACTATTTTAGTACTATATTTATAATTTACTTATTTTTAGTTTAGTTAGTTTAATGTAGTGTTATGTTGTGTTGAGTTGAGTTTTTCCAGAGAGAGGAAGGAGAGAGAAAAACAGAAACATTGATGTGAGAGAGAAACATCAGTTGCCTCCCATACATGCCCCGACTGGGGATCGAACCTGAAACCTGGGTATGTGCCCTCACTGGGAATTGAACCTGTCACATTTTTGGTGGCAGGGCTGTATGTGTAGTTTATTAAATTTTAAACTTGATAGCTATGTTAAGAGTAACGAGAGGGAGAAAAGAAGAGCAAGAAGAAAAAGACAATATGAGAGTTTTTCTTTTCCATCCAGTGCAGATGATAGGTTGTAACTCTTTTGTTCATTTCTAACTCCAGTGCCTGGAAGGTGGCTCATGGAACAGGCACAGTGCTAAAATACCCTGTGGCAGCTTGAGTCAGTTTATGGGCAGGTAGTCAGGAGATAAAATTCAGGGGTCACAAATTCAAGACCCTAAAGAGGCCTGCAAGGTGAATGAGGGCACAACCCTCATGGAACTGGCATTGGAGCACACATGCTTGTCTCAGAAAGGACTTCACGTTCAATTTCAGCCAGCTCTTGGTGTTTGGGAATCCAGCCCAGTGATTTTTTCAAGAAAACAAGTCTGATTTTTAAAATGTGAAATCTCCTGATTTTTAAATGTTGGTACCTAACTAAATATTTTAAAACATTTTGCAGGCCATGTAGTACACATCTGCAGGCCACAATTGGCCTGCATTTTGCTGGTTTTTAACCTCTGGTCGTGGAACACGAGGGAAGAAACAATGGAACCCTAGGCTATATTTGTTGCTGTGAAAGAGTACTGTAGATATAGAGGAGCAAGGAGGAGAGGGAGACACAGTTACAACTTGGACTAGTGTCTAAATTGGTTAATTTAGATTAGTGTTGTAAATGCATATTAGTGTTTGTGGGGAATGCCTGTCACCTTCTGAGGATGCAATAAAAACAACCAAAAAAGTAACATTTGAGAATAAGAATGATATCAAGCCACAGTGCTAATTAGATAACAGCTATGTTTGCTTTGGCCACAACTTCTAGTTATCATTTGTCAATCTTGTAATCAAGTTTTAATTGTTACAGTGGAACCTAACCCCTCATAACACCGTGTTCTGCTAATGTGTTGTTGTTTATAGCTCTCCTTTGGGTGGAACACGGTAAAGGTCGATATGAGTGCAGCCCGGAGAGATCCTCTTCCTATTATTCCGTTTGGATTAGCTGCATTTGCTGCCACCTTGTTTGCCTTGGGATTAGCTTTAGGAACAACCATAGCCGTTGGGATGTTGTTTTTTATCCAGGTAAGCTCCTCGGCCACTTCTGGCTGACAGCTGTCAAGTTATTGAGGCTGCTTGTAATGAGACAGAGATAAAGGTTGCATTTAAGTATGCAGTTTGAAATGGGAATTATTGTTACTTGCTCCATCTAGGTAGCTAATTTAATCTTCTGTACTAGTCAGATACTTTTGGAGTAGCTTTGCCATTTCTAGGTAATTGATTGACTTTTTAAACTGTTAACTTGGAGTTAAATAGCACTTTATAATTGAGAAAGCCCCTCTCGTATTTATAGTCTGTTGATCTTCACATCAACCCGAAAAGAGGTTGAAGATGAGTGTTATTTTCCCTTCTTTATAGATAAATAATTGAGGCACAGAAAGTTTAAGTGATTTACCTAGGATTATTTATTCATATATTTAGTAAACATAATTATTAATGTTATTTTATAATAGCATATATTTAATCACTGTCATAGTAATATAGCTAACATTCATTGAGCAGTTACTACATGCAAGACACTGTTTTAGGCACTTTACACATGTTAGCTCATTTAATCTCAATAACAACCCTATGATGTAGGTGGTATTTAATGCCTACTGTTTGATGAATTACTCTGCTCATTTCTAAGGCTACAATAATGAAAATGAAGAGGGTCCTTAACTCAGAATTAGTAGTAAACAGTTAACTAAAACATGGTCACGTGTTTATTGTAGATTTATGTACAAAGTACGATGAGAACACAGAAAAGGAGGATGTGCCCCCGAAGGGATCACAAAACAGTTTTTAAAACTTATTTAATTCACTTAATTAGTTTATTCATTCATTGAGGCTCACCATGGGCCAGGTATTGTGCAAGGCCCTTGGCATATGATGAGGACTCTTAGTCCAGGGTTGTTTTGACTGCACCAAACTGTCTCTGGAGTCACAGCCAGACTTTAAGGAAACCTTTTTTTTTCTACTAACCTGGGATCAAATTCTTTGATTATTTTTCCCCATGCCTATAGTTAAAAATCATATTAGAAATAAACTAAAATTCTGTGGTGTGAAAACCTACGTAAATGGAATTAGTTGTATGTAGGAAAATCAAATAGAATTTGGACTGAATATATTCAATTTTTAAGTCAAGCAAAATAACTAGGTTGACTGAAATGAGTCACTTGTACTAAATAGACTAAGCATAGATTTAAGGTTAATTAAAATAGTGATAAGAGATTTTAATAGCAAAATACACTTAAGTACTAATTGAATGGATTATACCAATGTTTTATTACTACTCTGAAAACCTTATTAAGAAGATAATCCTTAATACGTGAAATTTTATTAATATATTTAGATTTGCGTATGGATTGATATAATTATTTTATGGAGAGGCAGTGTAGCACAGTGGTTAAGAATCAAGTCAGGTGTACCACACTGTGTTACTTACCCTTTATCATCCTGGTATCTTCATCTATGGATTGAAGCAATAAACGTTATCTCATACGGTTAGTATGAAGGTAATAATGTTAAAATGAACCACAGTTACCTTATACAATTTTTCTATTATTTAATCTTTAGATGAAAATAATTCTCAGAAACCAGACTTCTATTGAATCATGGATTGAAGAAAAGGTAAGTTAATTCTTGTTTTTCTCAATATCAATAAAGTACTGATTAATAAATGCCTAGAAGTGAAAATTTTGCTACCAAATGGCTTCCTTAAGTCATTTGCATGCCACATAAAAGGTAAAGATAGGAGACACTTTGATTCATTCCTGGTTTAGTGTAATTCCCACAGAAGTATGCTGCTCATACACTCTGAGTTGCTGAGGAGGCCTAAGCCACACGTTAAAGCATTTGGCCATTCTCTTAGACTAGAGGAGAACGGAGCCCATTTGGAAAGGGACTTCTACCAAGGTGCCGTCAGGTTTTCCTACGTGTTTCAGACATCACTTAGGACTTGTAACATTCCTCTTGCCGTAGACCTCACAGCCTCCAGTACAGACTTCACACTGTCCATTGAAATTCTAGTACAAATAGAAATCCGACTACCCTGCTCCCTGCTTTAAATGCTCCGAGCCTCACCACGGCTCATCGCTGTAGAAGGAGTTGTCTACCCAGCTGCCTGCAGGGGCCAGGCAGGTCCCCTTGGTGAGGAGCCAACCTGTGTACCAGAGCTGCCTAACAGGTGAAGCTGATTGTAACTCCAGGGAAATGCACTCCCATTATTATGAAGTTGTTTCTCATTATTTTTCAGGAAACGGAAGAGATCTGGATTTCTATGACATCTCTTTTTCCATTTTTAAATGTTAGCAAGCAATGCAAATGAAAAACAAACAAAAAACCTTTGTGGGCCAAATAAAACACACCTATGGGACATATTTAGCCCCCAAGAAGCCAGTTGGTATAATTTACAGCAACAGTTCTCAAACTTTTGGTCTCAGGACCCTTTTATAGTCTGAAAAATTATTAAGGACACTAAAGAGATTTTACTGAATATTATAACTACTGATGTTTGCCATATTTTCTGAGAAGAATTTTTGAAGATTTATTATTTCATTTAAAAATAATAAGAATAAACCCATTATAGCATATTTTTAAAAAGTATTTATATTTTCCAAAATAAAAAAATAGGGAGAAGAGTGGCATTGATTTATATTTTCACAAATCTCTACTATCTGACTTAACAGAAGACAGTTGGATTTTCACATCTCCCGCATTCAGTCTGTTGAGATGTGTTGCTTTGATTGAAGTATATGAAGAAAATCCATCCTCACACAGATGAGTAGGTAGAAGAGGGTGGACCATTTAATAGGCCTTTTAGATAATAGTGAATATATCATACTATGTTAAAACTTGACAAGCAACAGTTCTCAAAAGGTTAGTTGCACCACCCTGGCCAGTTTGGCTCAGCAGTTAGAGCGTCGGCCTGTGGTCCAGAGAGACCCGGGTTCGGTTCCTGCTAAGGGCTCATACCTCGGTTGCAGTTTGTCCCTGGCCCTGGTTGGGTCGTGCAAAAGACAGCCCCTCGACATGTCCCTTTCACATTGATGTTTCTCTCTCTCTTTGTCTCTCTCCCTCCCACTCTATCTGAACAAAAAATAGAAAAATATCCTCGGGTGAGGATAAAAAAAAGGTTAGTTGCACCTGAGATCTGAAACTACCTCAGTAAACTTCTTGCCTTTGACGTCTAAATCCACTAGTCCCTCTTGCTCTTGGATGGATTTGTTGTCCATTCATGATTTTTGGACATCAGACATTGGTCATTGGGAAGAAATCAGGTTACAGGGTTATACAGACTTTCCCAAATGTTGATGCATTCATTCATATCACTACCAATCTTACGGAAACATCTTTAAATATTGGGAAGCTGTCAAGTTCATAGTGGTGAATATAAATTTTCCAAAATTCTAATTTTTACTTGAAAGCTTGAATTTTTTCACTGGCAACAAATGCTCAGTTGTTGCCATACCAGCCCAACTTTGTTCATTTCTGAGAAAATGTCCACCTAATACTGAAATTGGAATGACCTTTGTCTGTTACATTACTCATTCTTTCAAGTAAAAGTATCATTACATGAAAAAAGCTGGCTCTACAGCTTTTGTTAGCTCACAGCTCAAACAGGTGTTTTCCTCGAGCACTTCAGCATGCTTCATCTGGACTTCCCATTTTGTCACGCAGAATATTAAAAGAACATCTACTTGAAGGTTGAGATTTAATAAAAATAATAATTTTATTGCTTTATCTAAGACATTCTCTGTAAAAATGTTTTGGGGAGGCAGTGCAGGGGTTATTTTGTTTTGAACTACGAGTATGTAGTGGTGAAGACTATAACTGCTAATACATTTTAGTGCTACTGTCTCTTTTCTTATGTTTTTATTGATTTTTAGAGAGAAGGAGAGAGAGAGAGAAACATCAGTAGGAGAGAAACATCAATCAGCTCCGTCCTGCATGCCCCCCACTGGGGATTGAGCCTGCAACCTGGGCTTGTGCCCTTACTGGGAATCGAACTGGCAACCTCTTTGTGCGTAGGACAACCTCAACCACTGAGTCACACCAGCCTGGCTGGTGCCACTGTCTTGATTCCTGCTTAAGGTGCCAGCAATTTTACCCACCATTGCAAATGTCAATACAATGAAAAAGGCAAATAACATCCTAGTATTATAATGAAAGTTGTTTGACTTTGTTGAACCCAAGAAAAGGTCTTAGGGACTCAAAAGAGGTGTGCAAAGCTTGCTTTGAGAACCATTGATGTTCAGGTTTAAGTGTAAGATCCTTATCTTATGCATAACCAAATTTTATGTCTTCCCGTATTTGCTTCTTCAACTGCAATTCCCACCCCTCCCAACCCATCTCACACTCCATACCAACTAACACCAAGTAACTCATTGTTTATACATCTTATATTTCTGTATCTTTTCACATCTTCCCTCTGCCTGGAACTTTCCTCCCCTGGTTTCTTTGCCTGATTTCTTCTTCCTCAAGACTTGCTTTAGGCACCATTCCGTCCAAAGGAACCTTCCTTGACTCTCCCTAGGCAAGGTTAAGTACTTCTGTTGCTTTCCCATAGCACCTGTCACACACCTCTGTCCCCTATAACACACAGTATTGATAGAATCCCTCTCCCCAACTTCATTAAGTGCTTCTCTTAGGTAGAGACCAGGCCACGTCATTTCTGTAAGCTACTCTCCTCCTTACCACTTCTTTGTTAACAATCCAAATCTCTTCTGTAAGACTGTTATCCATTTTGAAGCTGTTGCTTATAAAAAGGGAAAAGAAATAACCCTTTTCTATCTGATGGGCATAGATTTATACAATCAGTAAATTCATACATTTTACAGGTTGATAATTCTTTTAATTGAACTAGCATTAATATCACCTTTTAAATATCTACAAGAAGCTTTTCCTTAAAATACTGTCTCTCGATAATAAAATATTTTAAAGTATTATTTCTAGTTAGCATAATATATTAACATTAGATTAACCAATTTTTTTGCTCATGACCAAGGCTCTTTATGAAGTACCATGCTAAACTGAGGAATTATTTTAAAACTGATGCTTTATTGCTAAGTAAAATATTCAAATAAATGATTGTATTAAGTTTATAGGAAATTTGTCAGAATTATCAGACACTGAAACTTATACAACAAATTTCAACTGCGTGTGTTCACTTATTGTAGAAATAAATAATGTCTCTTTATACCACTAGGTGTCAGTGGAACTTAAGAAGATTCTAAGCCAGTGTCTTCTTAAGTTAAAGCTAACAATTTAAATGCCTAGAATATAATTTATACAACTCAAGTATTTATATGTGTAAAATGTACATATAAATGCAAATGAAGGTAAGTATATATACATGTTAATGGTATAAAAAACTGAAGGGAGAGCTGGATATACCTACTAGCTTTAAAAAAAAATAATTTTCATAAAATGATGACTCCCTTGTTAACACCTTTCCTGGCGGTTCCCACAGATGTTACTGCAACCAGGCTACAGTCATTGCATTCTAGTGCCCCCAGAACAGTTCCTCCATCCCGAGTAAACCCTCGCTGCCTCTTAAAGCTGTTCGTCGACATCTCTGCTTTATACCTGAATTCTTTTGTTCTGCTGAACAACAGGAGCATTGAGAATTGTTTATATATGGAATAAAGTTACTAACTTTTAATATGCATTTTTGAATGCTTATTTCTAAGTAAGCCCTATCAGACATCTGAATGTTCTCATGTCAGGTTGGTGTTGTGTGTCAGCTTCTTCCAATATTGTGATAAGTTTATTTAGCTCTTCTGTGTACACTAGCATCACAACAAGGAGGAATTAAGGATACAAATTTGAGGAATAAATGTCCTCAATAGTATATTACTAAAAGCCATGTAAGGCTTCTGTCAATTTACATCTTTGGTACCCACAGGCTAAAGATCGAATTCAGTATTATCAACTAGATGAAGTCTTTGTTTTTCCTTATGACATGGGAAGTCGATGGAAGAACTTTAAACAGGTGTTTACCTGGTCAGGGGTCCCAGAAGGAGACGGCCTGGAGTGGCCAGTAAAAGAAGGCTGTCACCAGTACAGCTTAACAGTGAGTATTTGTTGAAATAGTCTTCTCTTTGCCTCACCTTCTTCCCCTTACTTGCCCTTAAATCAGATGACATTTTATAGTAAAATAAATAAATAATTTTTTTCAGTAGTCATTCCTCGCCACTTCACGCTTTGACTTTCACGGCTTCACTCTGTTGTGGTTTTTTTCAAATATTTTCATTAAAAAGTTGATTGAGACAGTGAAAATGATACAGCATGCGCTCAGTTGTCTGAATCCATTATACACCCTTGTATTACAATTAAAATTAGAATTACTGTACGTATGGACTGTAGGCCTATGTATTCGAGCACCCCAGGAATCCTTCAACGCCAGGTGCTACCGCTAGAGTCTGGAACGGATTAACCGCGACAAACGAGGGACGACTGTATGTGGCAAAATGAATCTAAGTTAATAATCTCAGCACTTGGGTATCATGCCTCTCATTTTATTTACCTCTCTCCATAACTCTCCATACCTGTGAGATAAAGTCCTGATTCCTTAGCTGAGATTTATAAAATCGGCCCTAAAACTACCTTCCAGCTGCTTCCAGACAGGAATCATCTTTTCAGTCAGCTGAGTCTGCTCAGTGAACCGCTCACACTACTGGCACCTGACTTTGCCCACAGCGTTCTCTCGTGGTGTCCTGTCTACTGGAATTTACTAAGACCAGTTGCAGTCCCACCTCCTCCCTAGTCTAACACCTGTTCCAGACTTCTCTGGACTTGGCACGTAGTCATATATGCCTGTGGTTGCACATGAGGTCTCATATGTTCATTTAATTCTTGTACCTTATCTTTAACTTTACTTGACCAGATTCTAGGACAGAGACTATGTACTCTCTTTGTTTCCCCAACTGTATCTATGAATAAGTGGAGAAAAGTGAGTCGTAGTGGTGACTTTGAGTTGAGACTCTGTTGATGAGTTTTGCGGGCTTCCTACCATGTCTAAAGAATCTTGAACCTCCGAGTCATCTCCACCTCCGGTCCTGCGCCATGAGGGGAGAGCATGTCTCCCTGGGCCACAGCAAGTGCTCTGTAAATGCACGCAGATGAAGAAATGACAGAGAAAAGCACTGAGAGAAAGCCCTAGTTCAGCTCCTGTTCTTAGTCATCGGTCCTGCTCTCCAGGCCAAACACCACGTGTGGCCTTTAAATTGTCAGTGGTTTGAAATGCTGGAAAATTGGGAGTTTGTCATGTCACTCTGCTATCTACATTGAGATAAAAGACTTTTTAATTTTTGTCTTCCAGATAGAACAGTTGGAACAAAAAAAAGATAAAAGAGTAAGAAGTGTAAGTAATTCTTTGCAATGATACTAATTGGAGGTGGGGGTCAGGCTCTATAATTTTATATAGTTTTTAAAATTCCCTTTGAGTAGAAGCTAACTGTTGGCTCTTATTAAGTAATATTTCTTAAAATCTTTATTGAGATTTAATGCAACTCACTTTTTCTTTCATTTAAATAGTTTGGCCTAGCCCTGGCCTTTGGCTTAGCAGTTAGAGTGTTGGCCCACAGACCAATGGGTTGCGAGTTCGATTCCAGTCAAGGGCGCATACCTCCGTTGCAGTTCTTCCCGGGCCCTGGTTGGGGTTTGCAGGAGGTGGCCAGTTGATGTGTCTCACATCGATGTTTCTCTCCCACCCTCCCTCCCACTCTATCTGAAGATAAATAGAAAAATATCCTGGGGTGAGGATAAAAAAATAATAATAATAAAAATATAAATAGTTTGGCCTGGAGGTTTAAAGGGGATTTTGTCCATTTATATTGCCAACAGAAAAATGATTTTCCTCAATATAGCTTGTTAGTATGAAACCCATCTTTGCACTTATACTGTGTAATATGATGGCCACTGGCCACATGTGGCTGCTTACGTTTAAGTTAATTAAAATGAAATAAAATTTAAACAGTCAGTTTCTTGGTTGCAGCAGCCACATTAGAAGAATTTAGTAGCTACATGTGGCAGGTGGCTCTCACCCTGGATACCACAAACAGAACATTGCCATCATTGCAGGAAGTTGCACTGGACAGCACTCTCTAGAATTTAATTCTTAGCTCTGTGCTCGCAATCAAGGGGGAGAAGAGCCTGGAGAACGAGAAACGTCAGTTGTCTCCTATAAGGGAGCCGGGTGGGTAGCAAACAGGGAGGGCCAGACTTGTCACCTGATAGTTTGGGCCTCCCTTTAACAATTAAAATTTAAACTTAAAAAAAAACAAACCGCTGATAATGGGTAAACGTTAAATTGTTCTTCTGATGACAGGTTCGGTATAAAGTAATAGAGGATTACAGTGGTGCCTGCTGCCCTTTGAATAAAGGAATCAGAACATTCTTCACGAGCCCCTGCACCGAAGAGCCTCGGATAAGGCTGCAGAAAGGGGAGTTCGTTTTAGCCACAAGGGGTTTACGGTGAGTGGGCAGAGGTGCTGCATTTCCTCTTCAATGACAAAGTTGGCATCTAGCCTAGAAAAATAATTTTAATCTTTTAACTGTTTCAGGTATTGGTTGTATGGAGACAAAATTCTTGATGATTCCTTTATAGAAGGTATGAAAATGGAAGGGGATTTCACAAGAATAACTTCAGTAAACAATTACGTGTCACATGCTTTGGGGAACTAAAGAGAAGAGCACATCATTAATCAACGAAAAGAAACTTCTCCGTAGCACTGGCATGGATCAGGTCTTTAAAAAATGACGGCTACCACTGGGGCTCATGTGAAGGCTCTCGTATAAGTGCTCCACTGTGGTATTGTCCCTAGTCAGCCCTCTGCGGTAGGCATTTATTGGTGAGGGGACCGAAGCAGAGGCCACACTGAAAACAGGTAGAGCCAGGGCTCACCCCGCATGGTCTGGCTCCAGAGCCCGTGTGCCAAGCCCTAGGCCATGTGCTTCCGCTTTGAGTGAACTTTCCTGTTAAGTTATTAGAAAACCTAATAGATTATCTCTTTTTTGTTTTTTTTTTTTTAATAGACTTTATTTTTATAGCAGTTTTAGGTTCACAGCAAAATTAAGTGGAAATTAATTCCCATATATCTCCCCACGTGCGCGCGCACACACACATCCACACGCGCACACACACACACACACACACAGCCTCTCTCACTCTCTACACTACATACCAGAGTGCTGCATTTGTTAACATTAATGAATCTACATTCACACATTAAAATTGTTCCTTTTAAAAGTGAAGATTAACCTGTCAAAAACACTGGGTTAATGGTAACTTAACCCCAAATGACAGTGTAGGCAACCTTGATAAAGAAATTTACATGTTACAAAAAGTCTAAAAAAAGAAATTCAAAAAGGTTACAGGAAGACAATTCCCTGAAATCAGTGGAGTGTGACAGTACCCAACACATGCTCCTGACCACACACGGGTGACGGAATACCCACATTGAGAAGTTCCCCTTCGCCCACTTAAGGGCTTTTCCAACCACATTAGCTCCTTTCTCAAATGATGGAATTGAGAAAATACCTTCTTCTAGCTTGTTAGGAGCAAACAGTTCAATGCCTTATTTTTTCCCACTGAAACTGCTTATAAAAGACGGTAAAGGGGGAAAAAAGTGCTAAAAGCTTATTAATTTGGAGTATAGGATTTAATGGGCCCCTGTAATGTTGCAGTATATCTGTCTATTTCATGTAAATTTTATTTTCTCCCTCAGGTGTTTCAAGAATAAGAGGGTGGTTCCCTAGAAACTGCGTGGAAAAGTGTCCCTGTGATGCTGAGACAGATCAAGCCCCAGAGGGTGAGAAGAAAAATAGATAGCCACTATTAAAATAGTTACTCTTTAAGTCCGCCCCATTACTTGAAAACTCTACATATCACTAAAGAATTATGCAATGAGCCTACTCTGGTTAAGGTGTTCTTTTTCTCAAAGGTGCCCTAGTGCCACGATCTAAATATTTTTATGATCATTTTGAAATGGAGAAGCCATTCTGCATATGCCTTTGAATTCCTGCCCCTCTTTGCCACCTCGTTCTCACCCCAAAAGGAAAAGCACTTCACCCAAGTCAGTCACTTGCATTTTCCTTAGGATCTTTTATGCACTGCACAGTAGGGACCTCACCTGCAGATCCAGTTCCCCCTTTGCCAGGAGCATCTGCATGTGATGCTTTTATCTTGTTTCCCCCTGTTGATGTTTATTATGTAATATTCTAGACACTGTAGAACTTAATTTGTCAGATTCAATATAAGCCCAAATTTTGTTACTTGTCTTTTAATATGCTTATTTTGTCGAATCAAATAAAGATCAATGGATGTTCTCTATAAATCATAGTTTTTACTTAAAGCATCTTTCTTTTTTTTTTCTGACTGAAAACATTTGTCTTTGTTCCTTATGGAAAAACTGTTCTATTACCTTGTCAAAATTGGCATTTTTAGTTGTTAATTGTGAGTTGTAAGACATACGTAGTTGCCTCCATATATAAACCCTGTGAATGGCATACTGAGATCACAGCATTCTAGGAGACTTTCACCCTGGTGATGTCGAAATGCTCGCATACATTGATTCTTCAAAACCTGATGCTTATGCAGGTGGTAAGAATGTTGGTGGACTTATTCTTAAAGTCAGGCATGTCTAAACACAGGAGTGGAGTGGCAGAAATCACCTGTTTCCGTCTGAATTCTTTCCAAGGCAGGGAACTTGAGCTTTTCGCGTCGGGCTTATAACAGTAACAGTAAGGGAAGGGTGTTTGGGAATTCAGCGGTTAATGAAACATAACTCTGCCCCATTCCAGTGAGGGGTGAGGAAGTAGACAAGTGAAATATGTGTCAGATGGAGTCACGTATGTGAAGGTGGCAGGTGGGAGGGGACAAGTCATATGCCTCTGGGAACTTCTGTATTTTAGGCAGACAACCGGAACTGCAGGCTGGAGTGTGCCTGGCATGTTTGAGGAACAGGGAGGCAGCCCGTGCAGGCCAGGTGGGATGAGCCACAGGTGGGAGAGGTCAGGGAGATGGTGGGGCTAGACCACGGCAGGGCCTGTAAGCTCATCCTGCCTTCCCTTTTGTTTCAGCGGCAGAAGAATAGACATTTCTTCAATTTTCCTGGGCTGAACATGTAGAAAGACCATCCAGGAATGATCTCCTTAATTCCAGTTAGAGGCCAGAAAGGAACACTGTCGAGATTACTGAATAGAGTATGACCCCGACAGTAAAGGAAGAACAAATCGGGCTCGCCTGGGTTTGGGCTCAGCTATACTTGCTTTGTGTTCACAGCTGTGGGGTAAGAAGGCCTGGTCCTCTCTGTATAGTAGTTTTCTTTCATAGTTATCACACTTGGTTGTACACTAGGATCACCTGGGCACCATTAAAAAACTCTAGTCCCTAGGCTTTGCCCCAGACCATGCCAATCAAAATCCCTGGGGTAACACCCAGTGTTAGTATATTTTTAAATTCCCAGGTAATCCTAATGTGTAGCCATGTTTGAGAACCGCTGGTTCGTGTGATTGTTAAGTGGTCCTTGTCTGAGGTTGATTTTCATCACATCCGTGAGGAAACACACAACACAGTGTAAGTATCTGCAATAGTATATTATTTTAAAGATTTTACATTTACAAGTGGAAGCAGCACGTGTTGTCCGGGGGTAAGCCAGAGCAGGAACAGAGTTCGCTGGAGGAAAGGTCAGTCGGTTCCTCCCCAGAAGATAAGCCTGCAGTGCAGACTTCAGGCTGCCCATAGGTCTTTGTTCCCAGTTCAGGAGGCTTTTACTCAGTGCTTTGCTTCATTCACTGGAGAGGGACATGGCATTGTTTCAGCTCCTTCCCCACAGCTTCCAGCTCAGCAGTGGACTGTAGGGAACAGATTCACCACCAGTGGTGTCACTGTAGATAACACTTGAGGAGCATTCTTTTCAGACAACATGTCATAGACCCAATTTTTCATTCTCCCAAGTCAAGACAGACTAGAGAAGCAAGGAAATTTTCAGTATGATCAAACTTCCCCTGTGTACAGACTTCAGTGTACACATAAGTACACAGAAGAAATCTGTCTCACAGATACGATTAACAGTAGTGAAGGTTAAAACTTGAAAATTGTATAGGTCTGGTGGTGTTAGAAAACAGGAATTCGAACTAGCTTTTCATAACTTAAAAGTCTCAACTTGAACACTGGGAAGCCTGAGTGCTGGGGCAACAGAAGGAAGTCAAAAAGGGTCTCTGGCCCTTGAACTAGTGGTCACTTACGCAGGTTGGAGATCATGAGGAAGAGAAAATACTAATGGACTTTGAAGAAAGGTATGTTGATAAAAGGAACCCAGAAACCTACATGTCAGCGACATTTATGATGGGAAGGCTAAGATTTATTTAGTACAGAGCTGAGTTTCCATGTTAGAAGTCTCTCGGTGCTGTTCTAAAAGCCCCCAAATTGTAGTTGTAAATTAGTAGGTAGAACAGACAGGAGATAAGACAAAAAAAAGAACGAGAAGTTAGTTTTTCATTCATATTCCCACAAGGTGGGCTCCTCCAAGCCCCTCCAGCCGTCAGTACCTGAACCTACTCCTGGATAGTCTCATACAGGCTGTCGATTTGGAGCCGGAAGTACTTGGCAAGCTCTGCCCTCTTCGCTTTCAGTGTTGGTGTCAAAAGCCCATTGTTAATGGAAAAGGGCTCTGGATGGAGATAGATGCTTTTGACCTGGAAGAGAAGATGAACACGCACACGCGTTCACGTGTGTGCATGCACACTTTTGTCAGTGATACGGACTTTCCCGCAGAGCCCTCCTCAGTGCTATGTGAAGACCTTGAAGGATACATCCGCTTACAAAAGCAGGCTGAGGAAGTGGTAAAGAGAAAGAACAGTCACACATGCCCGTTCTCACACGAACAGCAAAAATGGACTGTACAGATCATCACGAAAGGTCACCGCCATGTATAGGGAACGGGTTCACAGTACAAACTCAAGCCAATTCCTTGGAAACTACATTTAAACCCCCTTAGAAATGCAGCTTCTGCACTTCTAGCATGGCTTCCGGGACCAGGAGCGCATCAGTCACACATACCTGTTCAAAGGACTTAAGGCCGCCTTCCTTCCCAATTTTCTGCAAGTCTTCTAGAATGGCTTCCTTTACGGTCTAAGAATATAAAACGGGACTTACAGCATGGCTGTTTGAAAATGAGCCTAAACGAGAGGTTAGGCATGAACCAACTCAAAATTCCTGCCAAAGCTCGCCGGGATAGGAGCAGGAGGTGGGATTACGTACCGTACCGTGCATCGTATGCCTGATAGTGCCCAAAGGAAAGAAGGCAAATTAAATTTCAAAGGGTTTTTCTCTCTCTGAATGGCATTTAAATGTTTTTTTTATTTTCTAATCATTTTCCCCCACAAAGGACATAAACTCCCCATCCTCTCCTCCAATCTAATAAAACCAGTCCATCTATTTAGGGTTCAGCCACCTGCCACGGATTCAGGATGGGCCTGTTTTTCCAGGGTGCCGGAGCTGGTGGGGCCTCCCCTCCCATCATGGGCCCCGGGGTGGGGGTGTGCATCAAGCTCTGCTAAGTGAGACTTACTTGGTTTTGGCACAGCTCTTCAAGGGAGCCCTTAGCCCCGAGATTGGCTGCAAATGCAGGAAGCACTTCCGGGTCAGGAACCACCACCGCGACTAAGGATGACTGAAAGGAAGCCGCGTGAGAACGGATAATGCTGTCTCCCGGGGCTGCCGGAGGCAGAGCATGTCTTTGAAACAGACATGTCCCAAGACCTCAGATGCGGTACCTGTGTCCTCCTCTTTCCTCACCAGGAATTTCAAACTCCCGGGGAACGCTAGGCCCATTTTCCCATTACAGAAACGTTCTACTGGAATTCAGCTGATCACATACAAGTGGTGTTCAACGCTAGGCTTCAAGATCTCTTGGCCTGTCCGTAACAGCCGTCCACCACGCCCCAAAAGCTAAATTAAAGTGCAGTCTATAGGACTTCTATTGTAGTGAGAACTAAATTCAACGTGGGCATCCTTTTTACAGAATAGCTACTCATTAGTATAACTGTTTAACAATTCTACTGCCGTATCTACAGAGTCCATCATAGTTTCAAAAAAATATTTTCATTGATATTGCCTTATCAATGAAATGGGGCTTTAGTTCTTCAGTTCTATAAGCTTATACCTTCTCCTTCTCACCCTACCGAAATAGGTTTTCTGTGGCCACTGGAATCAGCTGTCTGTGCTTGAAAATGGCTGTTGTTAAAACAACATGTTACCCGTAAGCTTTCTCCGTGCACAAAAACTTGCTGCACTGGTCTGCTCCTGCTGTAGATGTTTTCTATCTTCTCGGGAGCGATGTATTCTCCTTGGGCCAGCTTGAAAATGTTCTTTTTACGGTCAACGATCTTCAGAGTTCCATTCTAGGTGACAGACAGAAGATGGCATAAGTACTTCTGAGCCCTCTGTGAGGGGTGTCGGCGGAGAAAGTAGTGAAGTCACAGGTATCGTCCTTCTTTAAACTTGACTTCTCCTGAGTCATTGGAGCCATCTTTACTCTTTCTCACTCTTGGCTTTGAGGAAAGGGGAGGGAAGCACCTTCCAGCAAGAACCTGTCTATAGTGAGTGTCTACGTGGAGAGCCACTGTGCAGCCTGACAGAATGTCCCAGGACTTGCGGGGTTGTGGAAATGGCCGGCTACCTCATCTACTAAAGAAATTCTGCAGCCGTAAATTTCCAATTACTCCATTTCCAGAACTCCTGGAAATAGGGAAGGAATGTTCTTTTATTATGAATTTTGAGCCCGGCCAGTGTCAGTGGACTGAGCATCGTCCCATGGACTGAGATGTCCCAGTTAAATTCCCAGTCAGAGCACGTGCCTCGGTTACAGGCTCGATCCCCAGGAGGGGGCATGCAGGAGGCAGCCAAAAGATGTTTCTCTTTCACATTGATGTGTCTATCTCTCTCTCCCTTTCTCTCTCTCTAAAAAACAAAAGTCCTGCCAATATGGCTGTGGTTGAGTGTTGTCCCATGGACTGAGAGAGATCACTGGTTTGATTCTTGGTCAGGGCACATGCCCGGGTTCAGGGCTCGATCCCCAGTAGGGGGTGTGCAGGAGGCAACGGATCAATGTCGTGCTCTCACACTGATGTTTCTATCTCTCCCTCTCTCTCTAAAAAATAACAATGAAAACATATTTTAAAAGAAAAGAATTCTGAAGAAGTTAGATCTCTCTCTCTCCTTGACTCTGTTTTCTGTATCCCTCCTATTAGATTTGGGAATAGGCTGAACAGTTCCACTAAGCGAATGCTAATCAAGCAAGTCAATAACTGTGCTTGTTAGGACAGAAGCAGGGCTGGGGAGGGCTCTCTGACCAGCCACCAGAGGTCATTTGCAGCTTCATTTCCCTGAGCTAGTTGGTCTGAGGAGCTTAGGTTCTTAGGGATTTGAATTGCAGAATTGGGATGAGCGGCAAATACAATCCACATGATCACACCCTAAGTAGGGCAGTAGACTGAACCAACCCTAGAACCTTCAACAAGCCTGACTCAAGAAATTAACCCTCAATTTATCCTAACAGATATTATCTGAAAGTGATTAATAAGGGTCGGCCCTTTATAACTCTAGTTTAGGGACCCATCTATTGCCTACATCCTATGCTTATTAGAGCAGAGAACTCTTATACAGAAACGATATGTTAGCACGATATGACTAGACCCAAATCTATGAAACGTATCATCAGGACCAATGTTCTTGGAGTTCTCGCCAAACGTTCTGTGAATGTCACTTTCGTCTTGAAAATACTGAGCCAGAAAGGAGTTTCAGATCTGGTTCTTTGCCACTCCCCCAGCATATTGTTGACAAAAACTTCAGAGAGGGGACCTTGGAAAATCTGCAGGGCTTCTAACTATTACAATTACACAATCATTTCCTCTCGTCTTAGAAAAACAGATGGGGTCGACAGAGACTAGTGATCATTGTTTGTTAGCAAGCTATGCTTAAAAAAATGTTTCTGTATATTGCAGAGAGCGGTGGCAAAGGCCCCTGAGAGGGGAAACCTAGCCGCCGCACATGCCTAGTTTAGAAATCTCGCTTCCTTGTTTTGACATGTCTCTACATAGTAAGTGGAAAGAAACGTATTCCTAGGAAACTTATAAAAGGCAAATGGAGTTATCAAATCACAACTTCTTCCTTAAGAAAAGTAAACAAGCAAACAAAGATAAAAGAAAAAGAAAAAAAACCCAGACCACTACATCCCTTTCTTGGAAAAGTCCTCCTAATTTTACTTTGGCTGTGAGCAAATGTATTCCCTTGTCCTGGGAGTCACGCCCACTCAGCTGATCATCCCACTGGCCTCTCTGCGCAGCTTGTTGATAAGCAGATGGGTCTCCCCAGTTCAGCAGCATAGACTCCCAGAAGCTTTGAAGAAACACCCACCGGGAGCCAGCGAGCGATGTCTCCTGTGTGAAGCCAGCCATTGCTGTCGAGGGCTTCGGCTGTCTTCTCCGGGTCCTTCAGGTATCCCTTGAACACGTTGGTGCCCTTGATGCAGACCTGCTCATAGGATGGTACAAAGTGGTGACAAAAGCAAAGGCCACTACTGCCAGCCTGGGTACTTTACAAAACACCTGCTCCTATTCTTAAATCGTTTGGTGGTTTCAGCCACAGGGTGAAAGCACCCGACTGTAATCGCTGTTGTGGGGGATTGGAAAGCAAGGTTCAGAAACATTCAGTTCCTTGCTCAAGATCTCAGAGGAGTCAAACCCAAGCCTGCTCACAATTGTGTGCTCTTCTTGGTACAAACATCCCCACCATGATCACCTTGCCGGGTGCACCTACCCACCTCTCCTTCGCCATTCACTGAGAAGTAGTTCATGTCTGGCACATCTTCCAGCTTCACGTGATTGCAAGCCAGGGGGGCTCCAACGTGGCCTAGAACACACCACACTGAATCAGCTGGGCAGCCACAGCACGGTGACCAGGCATATTTCAGGGATACTTATGGATTGCCTCTAAAAATAAAGACTGAAAGTTCATCTGCCAAGATAGGAAGGCCTGGACCCAAACCTGAGTTGGCTTTGGCCACATTCATCCGAATCACTCAGTTTATCTAAATTCATAAGTCCAATTTCAACTAGAACCCTCTCCCAACCACTGCACCGCCTGCCCAGCAGGTGGGGAACCTACCTGGTCTCCAGTCACCAGGTAATGTTAATGTACAGCCAGCAGTGCATTCTGTTTGACCATAAGCTTCAAACACCTGGGAAACCAAACAAGGGCTTTACCATGGGGGCTTCACTCGAAAACCAAAAGGGTCCAGAAATAGACCACAGTATGGAAACGTATACTGTGCTTTGGGAAATGTGGCATTTCAAGTCAATGGGAAAATGAAAATGAGTTTTTCAATAAGTGATGTGCAATCCTATGGCAACCGGATTTGCACCTGGGCAATAGAACGCTTCTGAAGAAACCAAGGTAGCACTTTTAACGGGAAATAGCTCCAGCTGTGGGGTAGAACAAGGGTTGACAACTCTGTCTGTACAGGACCAGAGAGTAACTGTTTTAGTTTTGTGAGCCATGTGGTCTCTGTCTCAATGACTTAACTCTGCCAATGGAGCAAGAAAGCAGCAGTAGACAGTGTGGAGTGAATAGACATGGCTGTGTTCCACTAAATTCTTACTTTTCTAAAAAATAGGCAAAGGGCTGGTTTTGGCCTGTGCTGCAGTTTGCCAACCCTTGGTATAGAGAATAATCTTGACTAGAGAGGCTGGTGGGAGGAAACAGGTGCACTAGCTACTGCATGGGGGCGTGGCCTATAATGGGCGGAGTTGATAAAGGTGGAGAGGAAGGCATTTCTGGGAGGGGCGTGACAACAGGACCTTCTGTTGTGTCAATTTGGGGGGCGGAGGGAGAGGAAAGTATTAAGAATGGCCAAGAGGGTGTGCTCATTTGAAGGACTAAAAGACCTCTGCCCTTGGCATCCACACGCAATCTTTTTTGATGTTGGTTATACAGACAGGGGACATTGTGAGGATAAGGCTGTCAGTTTTGTTCATGCTTTTTTTTTTTTTTATCCTCACCCAAGGACATTTTTCCATTTTTTGTACAGACAGAGTAGGAGGGAGAGAGAGGAAGAGAGAGAGAGGGAAACATCGATGTGAAAGGGACACATCGAGTGGCTGCCACCCACACGACCAACCAGGGCCGGGGACAAACTGCAACCGAGGTACATGCCCCTAGCGGGAACTGAACCCGGGTCTCTCCGGACCGCAGGCGGACGCTCTAACCGCTGAGCCAAACCGGCCAGGGCTGTTCATGCTTTGCATGTTGGTCGAATGAACAGACTAGTAAGCCACTGGGGGGGGGGGGGAGGTAGGAGAAGACAATATCTATGTCCAAGCCCTTGTACTCAATTCCAGATGGAGCAGAAATTTAACTGGAAAAAAAACCCCCGAAAACCATAAGATGATCAGAAAATATGGATGAAAACAGGCTTATGAATACTATGGGTTAGGGAGTCCCGTCTAAGCAATTCAAAAACTACAAATAGAAAATATTAATCCATCTGCTACATAAACATTTAAAACTTTTAAATAGCCATACATGAAGCAAAAGATGAGACTAGAAAATTATTTCTAACACAACGAAAACAAGTATTATTGCTATGTGAAGAACTCTTAGAGCAATGTGAAAGAGAACCTGATTATCCTTTGCCTATTTTTCTGTAAGGCAGTAATAGAGTAATCTATGGAAGAAATACAAATGCCAATAAGCGATAGAAAAAAAAATGTTGTGTTAATTAAAGAAACAAACTCCAATAAGGTTTTTCATGTATCTGATGGGTTAAGATTTAAATACTGACAAACTCTTTCACTGGCAAGAATATGGGAAAATAAGGTCGCATGCATCATTTATTTGCAAGAATGTATAAAAAAAATGACAAGATCTTACTGAAGGGAAGTTAGATAACCTACAATAACATGTTTAAAAAACCCTAAAATGTATACTTTGACCCAATAGTCCCCACTTGCTGGGCTTTATCCCAAATCAATAATTGCATTAAATACTAAAGACTATACACGTGTCCTTATCATCCCATTAATTATAACAGGGAAAAAAAAAATGGTAAGCCACTCATGTCCATCAGTAGGAGACTAGTTATTTAGGTACATTCACCAAACTATTCCAAACCATTAAATAATGTAGATTTTTATTTGACAGGGAATCGTGCTGATGGGACACTGTTGAACAAGTATGTTAGAGCCCTGATGTCATTTATGTAAAGGTCCCTATACACAGAGGCATGAGAAGCGACAAGAAGGATATTTTCTCCTGATTTTGAGGTTTTTGGATGACTGTTTCTTTGGTATTTTTCAGTTGTGTTTTCCATTTTATTTAAGCAGTGAACCTTATTTGTTACAACAGTGAAATAAGCTGTCTTCAGAGGTGCTCGGCTTACCGGACACCCCAATGCGGCCCGCAGGAACTCCAAGACGGAAGAGGAGATGGGGGCAGCTCCAGTGACCATAATGCGGACCTTCCCGCCCAGGTTGTCCTGTTCAGTAGAAACAGAAACATCTGCTGAAGCCTCTTCCCTTGGCTTCATTTTCCTCCATTGTGAAATAGGTTGAACGACCTACCCACTGTTATAAGAATAAAACTTGGTAATTTACAAAGCACTTAGAATAGGGCCTGGCATTGTCAAAATGCGCTTAAAATGTTAACTATTATTGTCACCACCTCAGCTGGGACCAGATCTCCATTTTTTAAATTTCCTCATATAATTTGTATTTTTGGTCCCTTCGAATTACTTATAATCTCAACAGACCCCCTAAAAAAATATGCAAGGGTGCTAGGACCTAAATAAAATCCATTTTCTGAATTTTGACCAATTTCCTTTGGGGACAAAGTTGTCCAAGAGAGATCGCAAATGGTGAGTGAGCACCGAAAGTGCAGAAGGATCTCCGGTTAAAGAGACGCTTGACCGTCCAAGGGAGAGCAAGGTATGCTGAGTCAGTGGGCTGCCTAGACATTTGCCTGGCTCTGTCCACGACCCACCCAACCTACCTGGATCTTTTTAAAGATGAGTCGGTCCCAGATACTGTCGCGTCTGATGATACCCCTTTTCACTTCACTGAATTTACTGGAAATAGCCAAGTTCAACAAGAACTTCTTCAAGGGTGTCTTGGCTTCATTTTGAACCTGCGGGGTGATAACTCCCCATTAGAGATACTCACCAAGGCTCATCAATGAGCAAGAGATGTTGCCGTCTAGCTTCATAAGGAAGCAGCTCTCAATCCTGGACCAGTTTGCTGAATAATACGGAGCCCAGATAATTATGTTCACACTAAAGGAAGTAAACTTAGTACATAGGTTCAGAGCGCCAGTTCCTCAAGATACCTTGGCAAACAACTTTGACAACTGGGATAATGATGTCCTCAAAAGATGGTCAGCATTTACCTACAAAGTCTCTTAGAACAACTGGATAAAAAACTGTTCAATGGGCAGCACCCTTAGGGTTTTGGCTTAATAGGTCAAAGAAGGTCCCAGGAATCTGATTTTTAAACAAGCATCACCTCTCGCTCCCCTTGCCCCTGCGATGCCTACATACACTAAATTTGTTGAAATACCACTTTCTCTGTGACTAAAGTTTCCTTAGCCACAGCATACCAAATCCTACAGACCTTCCCATGTAGATTATTTCTTCCTTGTGGACTTAATCTGACACTGCTTTCCAAGCTCACATGATTTTCCTAGTCTCCCTGACTCTGGCCTCATCATGACTCTAATCCATCAACCACACTCCTGCCAAAGGAGAGCTTTGGTTGGTCCAACTCAAAGAAAGCCGCCATATTTACAAAACTCTATCCCAAACTCCATCCTCTGGCTTCAAGACTCCATCCTATTGGAATTCACATTCAAGGTAATCAAAGTTCTTTGCCAGTTCAAAATTCAAAACTTCAAACCTTCCATATTCACACTCCCATTTCTGGGCCTCCAGCCAAATGGGGCTGCGCATCCCCACCCCTAATATCGGCTGTGCTCTAGGCTCTGGATAGCTACTCATGGCTGTGCTATTATTTTGCCAAAATCTCACCATCCTTCTGCAAGATCTACACTCAAATATTGCCTGCATCATGTGATTCCTGACAACTTTCTCATCCTTAAAAAACCTATCCTGTTTCAATATTCACAAGACTCCCCTAACAAGTCACTGACGAAGAGCGGGAATTGAGAGACTTGCACTTATAAAGTCCTGCATTTTCATAATAAGTGCTGGAAGTGAACTCTGTGTTAATACCATCTTATAAAATAACTCTCTCTCAAAAATAAAAATGAGTCCATCCAACAAATGAACAAAAAGCAAGTCTAACAATCCCACAGCATGATGAGGAACTGTTAGAATTGTTAACAAGTCTGATAGAAACTAGGGCTTTCAATGTCTGCGGATCATCTGTGTACTAGAATGCAGCCTGTCCTCGAACTGGAGCCCCAGGACAGCACCTGGTGAGATTCACAATGTGAAGGGACTGCCAAAATCTCAGGGGTGGGGCCAAACATGTGAAGAAGGGCCATGTATTATTTCCTTAGAGCTCTCATGACTAGGAAATTATGAAATGATTGGGCACATGGTTAAGAGCCTGGGTGTTCTTATTATATTTCCTGGGTTCAAATTCTAGTTCCCAGAGCTCTTTGGAGGAATTTGCCAAACCAAGACTTAAGTGAGGATCACACAAGATGAACTTGAGACATCTTATGCCAGGAAGCAACAAAGCTATTAAAAACCACTGAGGTCATGTCAAAAGATGTATGAGCAACACATGATGGGGCTCCCAACTTCCATGATGGGAAAATTTGAACACTGAGAAGGATGAGTGAAATAGATTAAACATACAAATATGCAAATCACTAGTGCATCATATTACAAAGAAAACAATCTCATTGTCCAGTTTTAAAGGTTATGGAGGCACCAATTCAGCATCTTGCAAATTGACGAATAAAAGAATGAAATATTTGTTATTCCCTGATGGAAGAATCTCAGCTAACACATGCAAGAGAAATGACTGAATTAGAAAAACTGCTATTTTGCAATCCTAATGAAAAAATAGAGCACTGATTAATGAAAGCGAAAAGAATTACGTGACAGTTTGATTCTGGACCGACCCCTTATCAGCTATTACTCTGAGCAAGTTATTTAACCTCTGAGGCTCAGTCTCTGCTTCTGCAAGTCTGGGATAAGTAGAGGCCTCGTGTGCCTTTGAGAGCAGGAGATGCATATAAAGTGTTCATCAGGGGAACTCAGTAAGAAGCTCAGTAATCAGTAGGTGTTATGAAGTCAGTGTACAACCTCCCAGAGTACCAACTTCCCTAGTTGGCTGAATGTTGAGGGGCTCCCCAAGTCCCCGAATTGAGCTCCTTCTCCAAATCAGGTCCACTCATCTCCTCCAGAGGAAAGGGGGTTTTATTTATTAGGGTTTTCACCACTGCATTTATAAATGTGGCTAGAAGTAGATGCTTATAGGGAGTCGGGGGTTGGAAGTGGACAAATTCTTAACAACACAGAGTCCTGAAGAGCCTCAGACAGGTTCTGCACCCCACGATCAGCCCAGCAGAAGCAAAGTCAGCACCTTGTCGTAGATCCTGTTGAGGAGTCGGGGCACCACAGGAAACAGGGTGGGCTTCAGAGTCTTCATGTCATCAGGCAGCAGCCGAATATCTCCTTGGAAGAATCCAACTCTGGCTCCACAAGAGTATACAACAACCTAAACACGAAGCCAAAGGAAAGGGCTCAGAGCCAAAGGACCCGTCAGGGGGGCGTGTCGTCTAGAGGGTGCTGCTAGAGACTTCTCTAAGCTTGAGGTGCGTTTGGTGCTGCGGCGCTAAGGAAAAACACTGCCAACTCGACTACAGCTGCCTGTCACTGGAAGGCAGTGTCAGTTTCAGAAACGTTAAAATGTGAAAAGGGATGCTTATTAGAATTGATACTTTATGAATCAGATATCAGTATTTTAGTCCGAGGAACCGGATTGCTCATCACTTTATGCATTAACACAGAATCTGATCAAAGAAGGATTTAAGAATAGGACTCAGAGCCAAAGGACCACTTCAAGGGGGAACAGAGAGAGGCTTTTCCACCCTGACGGCCACCCGTGTTCGTGAAAGGCCAGCATTGCTTTCAGTCCTCAGGGCAGCCTCAGCGTAACCCGGAGTCCACGCACAGACGGGCAGCTCTCCTCTGGGGCACCCAGTCGGATCGACCCTGTCTTAGGCATGCTGGACACCTTCCCTGGACCAAATGCTGCCTCTCTGCCTCTCTGTGGGGAACTTCCTTTTCTCTAATACTAAGATCTTCTCGAAAATTCTAACCACAATAAAATAAAAAAGAAGAAACACATCTCCTATTTCAGGTCGGAATTAAGGGTAGCTGGTGGGCTCCTGGCTGTGACCTCGCTCGACTCGCAGGCACCTTGTGTGAAGGCGGCAGCAGGCTGAGCCTGTTGGACACACAGACTTAGCAGAGGAAGGCACCCCTGTGGGTCAGTGGGAACGCGGGGTTCAGACGCCGCTGTGCCTGCTCCCTGCCCGTGCCCTTCACGTTAGAGAAAGGACTGTGAATATTGGAGGGTGCCTTCGGAATAAGCGTGGGACTAGCAAGTCAGTATCCCTTTCCACATACCTGCTAGGGACACAGGGCACTCACCTGTACAACCCTCTCAAACATGTGAGCCAAGGGGAGGTAGGATATGGCCACATCCTCAGGGGTGGGCTGAAACGTATACTACAGATGGGAAGAAAGAGGAGACACAATTGGATTAATGCCGACCTTCCCTTCCAAATGCATTTAAGAACTGCTCTCATTAACTATAGTTAATAATACTCTACTGTATATTTGAAAGCTGCTGAGTCAATCTTAGTTCTCATCACAAGAAAAGAGAATTTGCAACTACGTGTGGTGATGGATATTAACTAGACTTAACAAGAGGATCATTTTGCAATACATGCAAACATTGAATCATTATGCTATACACCAGAAACTGTTATAATGTTAGGTGTCAACTGTATCTCATTTAAAATGAAAAAGAAAACCATTTTTAACTACTTCTCTCCTGTAGTACACAGCATGCGGCCGTGCAGGGGGGCACTGTGGACTGGGAGAGGGGCCCTGACTTCACCCATGTAGAGGTCTGCAGTGATTGTCAAAGACCAAGGCTGGAACATGCCCCGCCCGCCACCCAAAACTGCACAGGTATTTGTCCACACTCAGGCCCTTAACTGGGTTTTTTTTTCTCTCTCTGCCTCCTCTATCTTCAAGATTAAAATCTTATGACAGATTCGCATTTTAATGAGGATCTCTTTTGTAATTGACCACTGACCTCAACACATTTGAGAAAAGCTGCAGCATTTGAAACAACATTTTTATGGGTTATCATGGCTCCTTTGGGGTCACCTGTAGGAAACAAGGAGGTGGAGGGAAAGATCCTTTATGTAGCTAATAGGTAACCTTTGCCTTTGAAATAAGAAGTGACATTCAATTGGTTCTGTTCCAGAGAGCCAAGAGCTTCTTCTGACATCATGGCTTTGTGTGAATGATATATGACTCCGTTCATGAATGATTAATGCCCCCAGAGATTCTACTGCTGACAGCCTTCTACCGTCACACAGGGCTCAGCCATAAGCTCAGATAGCAAAGAAAAGAAAAATCCAAGTAACTCCCCTCTCTCTTGTGCCATTTTTATGTTGAAGACTTCAGAGCTGACAATATTACCTAGCTATCACCTTACAAATTGGGCAGAATGGAATGGATATAATGGTAGGTCATCATGGGCCACATTGAAAGCTATTAAGAGTTCTAATAGAAAGGTAGCTGCCAGATGGGGGTGGAGTCCACAGTGATCTGTGTAGAACTTTACTGGGTTATCTTGATTGAATGGACCACTCTAGTGGTGTCAAGTTGAGAGAGTGGTGGGTTGGGGAAGAAGATTGACTTTCTGACACATCTTTAAGATCCCTGAAATCCATAGCACGTAAACACTTTTAGTATGTTAAATACGGTTTATCTGCTTATGCTTACAGTTTTCTGTCTGGGTAGCCATACTCAGAAGCCTTAGGTGGTAAGCCTTACGAATAGGGTTCATTGTAGGGTTTATTTACTAGCCTACTCGTGGTCAGTGACCCAAGTCATGTTTTTGGTTGACCAGAGGCCTCTGCGACAGCTTCATGGGCACTGACCTGTGGTCCCACTGGTGAAGCAGATGATGCCTAGGTCATCTGGTTCAGGAGGCTGGAGGGGGAAGCACACAGGCTTAGTCTACCACGAGCTTTGGGGGTTGAACATGCAAGACTCAAATTCGGGCAGAAGAAAACTTACCATGGGTTTTCTGAAATTCTCTTTGCCTGTATTCTACACAAACAGAACATCAAGAAAGGAAGACATTAGTTAAGATGAACAGACTCATGAAAAACACAGCCCTCTCCCTTTTCCATGAGGACACATCTACAGGAATATAACCAAAATTTCAACCTGGATCAGGCCCAGAAGCCCTATGGAAGAGCATAAGGTTTATCTAGATTACAAACCTAAAGAGGGCAGATCCCAAATGTCCAAACTTCCCACCATACTCTTGAAGTTCAGTCATCTAGGACCACAGCTAAAGGTCTTTGACTAACATATGTACTTGACATTTCAAGGCTTACTACATAACAGTCACTGTCCTGAGCACTTTATATATGTTAACTCAGTTAACTCTTTAACTCCTCTGTGCGGTAGAGACTCTTTTATCCTAATTCTACAGAAAGGGAAAGGGAGATATAAAATAACTTGCGCAAGGTCACCTAACAGTGCCTAGCTCCAGGACCATACCCTAACTACCACCAACCAATGCACTTATGGATTCTCTACTTGGAACTCTATGCATGCTGGTCACAGGCCTTTCTCCTCTCCTGGCATGGTTTCTGAGTCACTTTGGGGAAATTATTCTCGAAGCTTCACTGCATGAGTCTAATTTACTGTGTCCTGCCACCCCTGGAGAACAGCCTGCTCCCTGTGCAGATGTCCGGCCAAGCAGACAATACCAGATGCCCATGGTGTCAGGTCAACCTCTGAGCTGGGAGGTGAGTTTCAGGCCATTACCTCAGCATCACAGAAGGATAAGACCTCAAGCCCACTTTTCTCCCCTCTTTGCTTCAGGTCATCGTCAAAGGGATCCATGAGGATGATTATTTTCAGGCCTGGAGTGAGGCCCTTCTCCACATTGTCTATCAGGACTGATGCCTTTTGGGGTGTATCACAGATCACCATGGCGATATCACCTGAAAGCAGAAACAGAGCCAAAGGTCATGTTCCTGCTCTGCTCGGTGCCTGATCGCCTTATAAGGAGGAAGGGATTTTTGAAAATGTCAAAGCTAGTGGATCTCCCAAAGGATATGAATTATGTCTGCAAATCAGCTTTGTGATGCATAAAACCTGAAACATTCCATTGATACAAAGGAGCTTAACCGAAGCAGAAGCCAAGTTCCCCTGTGTGCTGCCGACATGATTTAGTCTCTAGAGAAGCCTTCTAGAGACTTCCTTCTGATTTAGAATATAGGTGACTGGTGGCTGAATGGCTTAGGTGTGGTCCTTTCTATGTGTTTTATGTGGGGGAAAGGAGCAGGGGAGAGGAGGGGAAGGAGGGGGCAGATGGGATTTTAACAGACAAGCATTTTATGATTCTAAATGTTAGCATTTGCTTTGATACTTGTTTACACAAATAAAAAGTGTCCGATTGTGTCTATAGTTCAAGTGGATGTACTCACTACATCTACCATACCATTTCTGTGACAGGAAGTAATGTCTGGGATGTGTGGAAGGGCTGTGACTTGCCCACTCAACGTGTACTTGTTTGAGAATGGCAATATTTTCTGCAGACTCACCATACACATTGGTACATGCTGGTTAACTGTACTGACTTAGATTTACAAGGATGGGAACTCAGACCGGAAGTTTCACAGTGATCTGTCAACCACTCTGGACTTTTCTCCAGTGTGGCCAAAGTAAATAGCCGAGTCCTCTAAATGACACTGCCGTAATACATCACCTTAAAGCATTCCATTGACTCTTCTAACTGTGCATAGACCTGCCCCATGGGCTTTTTGTAACTTCCCTGTAAATGATATCATAGGGACTACAAGACAGCAAAGACTTGAGCACTTTTCTGGTCCCAGCATTCCAAGGCTGCTCACAAAAGCAGATGTTGAAGAGTTACTCAGCTTACAGGAAGAATCGAGTTGTAATGTAGTAGCAAAGTTTTACCCTTGTTGATAATGTATATGACGGCCTCTGCTCCCAAGGTATCGTACAGGGGGACGGCTACCATGGAGTACGTGTAACAAGCTAACTCGGAGATGATCCACTGTATGGAGAGAAGTTCAAGTCAGGACTAGAGAACACTTTGAAGAGGAAAAGTATTAATTTAGTCATTTAGCCAACAAATGGTTTTGTGGTTACTTTGCTTTAAAAAAAAATCACTGTGGGGCCCCTAAGGACTACCACTGCTAATGCTACAAAGTACAGCTTAATAAAGGAGATAAAGGCACAGAAATAACTACAATACAAAGGTAGACCCGATACAAAGGTAGAGTGCGGTGAGTTCTGTCCATCAGAGGAATGGGAAGCATGAGGGAACGTTCAGGAAGCAGAAGTCACTTTCAGGGGTCGGGTAAAGGCTCTCTGGGGCTGCGTGGGTGAAACGTGATGAGAAGTGGGCAGGGCCGCGAAAGGGCTGGTGAGTTCTGGCTGTGGAGGCTGAGGCACAGAAGGCATTCCTGGAGTGGACAAGGCAGGACAGCGTGACATCAGTGTATACACACCAGGAAGCATGAGGAGCCACAGAAACGAGTCTAGATGCTATGGGCTGAATTGCGGCCCTGACCCCATTGCCACTCATTTTGGAGATACAGTAGGGCCTTTATGGAGGTAATTAAGGTTAAATGAGTTCATGGCGTGGGTCCTAATCCAATACGACTAATGTCTTTCTAAGAAGAGGAAGAGGCACCAGGGATGACAGAGAAAAGGTCATGTGAGGACACAGGAGAAGGCAGCCAACTGCAAGCCAAGGAGAGAGGCCCCAGGAGAAACCCAGCTGGCTGACACCTTGATCTTCCAGCCTCCAGAACTGTGAGAAAATATATTTCTGTTGTTGAAGTCACCAGTTTCTGGTATTCTGTTTTGGCAGCTCCAGCAGACTAATACGCTAGGTTTGGTGTTGAATTCCTAAACGCGAGCTAAGGGCATGTCTTCTCATTGAGGCTGGTGTAACAAATTAGTTCCAGTCATCTCGACGTCTAAAATCGGCTTTCAGTGGCCAATCTCAGTAACAACGGACACCTTGGTTTCCTTCAGGTACAACCTACAAGTTCCATCTCTGATATGAAAACATCCTTTCCCAGGACATCCTCAAGCTCGTATTGGCCAGCCCCCTTTAGCTTTCTTACTCAGACAACAACAGACTGACTTAGAAAGGCTCCTACTGGGCTGGGAAATAGGAGAAGTCCAGTCACCTAGTTTAGATCACTACACATTCAACCAGGAATTAAGGAGGCTTGGAGTTGTAATTCTTTCAAGGGGAAGAATATTTAAAGAAAATGAGAGCTTTAAGTAGCTTTGGTAAATCATCAACAAGTGTCAGAATGCTGGCTTAGGGGTGGGTTTAAAGTCTTTAGACTTAGTCCTGACTCATTTTCTTGAGTTCACTTCCACATGGTTACCTCTGGCCTATTCTGAGCAAAGATGCCAACACATTGGTCTTGGGATGGCTTGTATCCTTTATGTAGGAGACAGGAGCCCAGGTACTCTGCTCGATCAGACACCTGTAAAAGAGAGACAAACAAGGGGGGTGGGGAGGGACACAGTCAAGACCCAAAGGAGACCACCTTGGCTCAGGATATCATGTAGCAAAAGAATCCATGCCAAACATGGGCCCGACTCACCTGTTTGTAGGACAGCCACTTGTAGGGCTGGTTTGGTTTTCTATACCCCAAGCAAGGCCCATTGTCTAAAAACATAATATTAAAGAAAATCAGCTCCATTTGCAAATCCTTTGGACCAGAGAAGGTAAAAGGGAATTAGGAAGAGACAAGACACAAAAGATACATCTAGTTAGAATGTGAACTGCTCTTAGGTGCCAAGGAAATTCAAAGGCAGGGAGTACTCAGTTCTCCAAGTCAGAGTCGTACAAACTACACTTGGAACATTTAGGAAATTCTACAGACCAGGGGTGGCTCCGTGTTGAAATATGTGACCTCCATGGTAGCAGACTCAGTGAAAGCCATGAATATGGACTAGCCCACATAACGTGAACAAGTGAAAGCCAAGTAAATACAGCCTGAATGGGATAATCTTGGATTGACATAAAAAAAAAAAAAAAAAGGTATGTTCATAAAAATATAGAAAAAAATCAAAATGAGTCGTCAATAATGTTGTTATTACCATTATTAACCATTATTAACACTAATATTTTGTCATAGTTCCTTTGTATAGTTCTATAGGGTTATGATATATATATTTGTCCTACTTCCTTTCTCTGTTTGATATACACATTCCCATGTTATCATTTATTCTTTGTAGAGATTTCAATGGCCTTATTATGGCCAACTGACGAAGAGTTCTACTGTAATTGACTTTCTCTCATTGTGGGTACTTAGACTGTTTCCAAGTTTGACACCTTAAATAATGCTATGGTAAATATTTTCAAATTAATCATTTCGAATTTAGAACATTTTCTTAGCACAGAGTCCCTAAAATGAAATGACTGAGTTGGGAGGTTGGAATGGCTCAGGTTTTTGCTGCCTAGCACCACACTGCTTAATAAGACCCACTATGACAGTTTGCTTTTCTCCCACCACCAACATATCAAGTCATAGATGCTGAATAGTACCATTTTTAACACGTCTTATGGTTTGATAGATTTTAAAACGTACTTTAGCCTAAGGTTCTTTAACAGCTAGTAGAGTGGGACATTCCCCTTGCTTGTTGAACTTTATTTACTCTCATCTGTTAATGTGCTTGGTCTGTTTATAGGACAGTCTCTCCTGAAATACCCAGGCTCGGCCACAGAAGCCACGCAAGTTGTGATATGAGGCTAAGGAACAAGCCTCACTGGCTGAAAAGCTCAAATGAGACCAAGCTATAAATAGAAAAGGAAAAGGGAAGGGAATTTGACCCAGAGGCTCTGGCCAAACTGCTGAGAGAAATTCAGTTCTTGACAGAAGGAAGCGTTCAGAGAGAGGGTTACTAGGAATTCAGAGGTAAGTACGTAAACTTCCAGACCAAGTGACAGAGGAAAAAGGAATAAAAGCAGGAAAGAGATAGCTGCTCTGATCAAAAAGATATAAAAGGTAAATGAGGAGACTGTTGTCCACAGGAAACAGTCCTTTTTCTTCCTGCTGAAACAGCTGCATAAAAGCTCAAGCGGCAAAGTCTCAGATGGTCATTTTCCATGAAGCTGGGCAAGTCCTGTCCTGCTAGGTGTTCACAGCCACGGCTCCCTCCCAGAGTGTGTGCCGTGATGTCCACCAGTGAGACTGTACCAACACGAAGTACAAGTGACAGCTACCATGGATGGGATGCTTACTCCATGCTAAGCACATTTGCTCATTTGGTCTTTGCAACTCTTGTTATCCCGTGGCCCCGAGAGTCAGAAAAAACTGGGACGGCGTCTTCAAGCTCACTCAGCAAGTGGCAGAGCTGGTGAATGTGGAAAAACCATGCTGCATCTCCTTGTCACTTCCCTATAGGTGAAAATTCTAGCAGAGGCCCACGGCCAAGGAACAAGTCAAATAATTGGCCCAAAGGGACACCCGCTGAGGTCTCATTAAACTCTGTGCCCTAATCAGCTTCAGCCTAATTACCCAAAATCCTGACCAGGCAACAGCCTAGCCTTTGATTAACTTACTTAACTGAGAGCTAGCTTCTGTTTTCAGGTGCAGCCATGGGCACAGAGCCCACCTGTTAACAACTGGGCAGAATTGCAGCCCTAAGTTCGGTAGAGTTGAAACTGGTATGCAGACCCCCTCCCTGCAACCAAGCTTTGTTAAAAACTCAGACTCTTAGGTCTCACTATCTGGAATTCTGGTTCAGTTTGACAAGGGGAGCCAGAAATCTACATTTTAAACATTACCCACAGTGATTCTCAACATAGACCATCTATCGGGTAGGGGTGAAAAGTATATGTCAAGGTTGATGTAGTCAACCCCAGCTGGGATCAGAAGTGTCATTTTTCTGAGGAAATAGCCAGGCCAGATTACTCCTGTCTAGTGACATGAGAAGCCATGTTAACTGAGTCTGCTTATTCTTAATTTAGTATTTAAAAAAAAATAGAAATGAAGTATCTTATGTAACATTTTCTAGTTCTGTCACCTTCAGTATGTTCCTGAACCTCTGAGTCTCTGTTTTCTCATTTAAAAAAATATGGGAGATAGGAACTAATCCATGAGGTTTAGGGAAGATTAGTAGGTACTACCTGAGCAGTCCCTATTGTACAGTTAGCACTTGACAGGAGGTGACTATTAAATATTATCATAGTCACAAAGGCAGGAGAGAAGGGAGGGATAAGAAGTCACACAGGCAAACTATGCCTAGACAGTGTCACCCCAAAGAAACAAGATATAGGGAGAGCTATAAGCCAATAGATTTTGAAAGGAAATCAGTACACCTAGCATTGTGTTCAATGATAAAAGATGTAAGTACTAAGGCTCGATATGTTCCAAGTGAACCTACCAAAGCCCCTGTGGCAGCATTTCTAAGAAAAGTCCAAAGGAGAATTGCCTCTGTGATACTAAGAGTAGCAGCCTGGGCCAGTAGTGTGGCATTGGGATCAGGACAAGGTAAGAAGTCAGGAGGCCTAAATGTTCATTCTGGCTCAGATTCTGCATCTGAAGAATTGCATTTGTGAAAAGCATGTTCCTAAGCAAATATGATACACTAATGTCCTAGTGAGTTAATCAACATACTTTCATATACATTATCATTGACTGTTTAACAACAATTTGGCAGGGAAGTTCTTGTGTTAACTAAGGCACAGATCCAGAGAGGCAAAGTGGCTTGCACAAGGTCACACAGCTAGAAATAGAAGAACTGGGTTTCAGACCCAGGGCTGGCCCTTGCTTCCTGACATTGTGATTTTCCGATCCCTGCATCCATCCCAACACTGTAGATGTTCCTTCCATTTTGTATGTAGGAATTCTACCCAGACCACCACAGGTTTTTACAAGTGAGGCAGGGAAGCTGAGGTATAGAACAAGACTCTTTCTTGGTCTTCTCTTACAGGAAAGGCCAGACTGCCAGGCTTACCAGACACAGCAAGTCCTCTTTTGAAAACTTCGTACATCGTCTTGGCATCTGAGAAGTAGTAGCTTAGCAGGTCATTGTCCTTCTGGCGAGCATTTTTCCGTGCTCCTCCCTAAGACACAAGGCCAAGTTTAGGCCCAGTCTGAGTCTCTCCCCACCCTTTCCAAATACTTACAAATTAAATTGAATGTGAATGCTAACCATTGAGGTCATAGGGATTACTCCTCTATCCTATTCAATCAATAAAGTCTTTAAATCTCAAAATTGAAACATCTTCACATCATAGCAACCCAGAGACTGTCACAGTTATGTTTTGGGAGATCTCCCTTACCTTTCTTGGAACACACACACACCCCCCACAAGAGATAATATAGTATATTTATCCTTTAAAAATTCACATCAAGTTTAAACATCTATGAAATGCATACTATGTTCTGTGCACCATGTAAATACTGTAGATGCAAAGTAAGTTAAGAGAAAATTGCTGGCCATGAGCACCTCATAAGTGGAAGTTTTTGGAGTGGGGTGGGGTGAGAAGGGAAAAACATGCAAATACAATGCTGTGATGTACATGTTGAGCTAAAATATATGTTTTGGGAGACTAATGAAGCAACCAGTTTTGTGGTAAGTAGAAAGGCTACAGAGAAGAAATGATATTTCAGTGGAGACTTTGAAGATCAGTAAGCACTGACCAAGAAGATGCGGAGTGGTAGAGGGGAGGGAAAGATGAATGACTCAGAGTGAAGGAACAGCCTGAGCAAAGGCACAGAGGCCAGAAAACACACTGCAGAGTCTGGTAGGGAGCTAGAGAACAGGGTATTTCAGAAATAGGGAGTAGCTAGGGATCTGTCTAGAAATGTCAGCTGGAACTCCAGGGTCAGGGCCTCATGAGGCCCTTGGAGCTGCAGTGGAGCTATAGGCATGGTCCAACCCTTGTGAAATCAATCCAGAGAGAAACAGGCATCAGTTAAATAAGCAAACTAAAGGAGTCGTTCAAGTACAGGCTAGCACATCAGACTAGAGCAAGAGATCTGACTTGTCTAGAGCATTGGGGAAGATTTCCATGAGATGTCGCATTAAGTCAAGAGGTAAAAGAAAAAAAAAGTTCCTCCTCTCATAAAGGAAGATAGGGTCTTGCTGACTGTTTTTATAAATGGCCTGAGGAAGAAGGAAGAATGAAAAGTGATTCCAACTCAACTTTAGGCAACTGGGTAAGAAGAGATGCATTTAACTGAGATAGAAGAGGAAGGGAAACCGGAGAGGGTATGGGTGTGGGTGTGGGTGTGTGTGTGTGTTTAGGGAGAAGATATGTAATAAAGAGACTCATTGACCTTGACGTACTTGAGTGTCACTGAGGTAGACTGGAACTCAGGGGAGAGGTCTGAACTTAAAAGTCAGATTTGGGTGTCATGGCCTTTTAGGTACATTTTCAAGTCATAGGAGAAGGAGAGTTTTCTCAGGAGTGAGGAATTAAAGCAGGGATTGGCAGGCTTTGGCCTGGGCTCACTTCTGGCCTGAACCTGCTTTTACAAGTAAAGTTGTATTGGAACACCGCCATGCTCATTCACTTCCACGTTGTCTGATGCTTTCTCACCACAACAGAGTTGAGTGGTCGCAACGCAGCCCATATGGCTGCGAAGTCTGAGCTGTCCTGTCTTTCCAGAACATGTTTGCTCACTCCTGCTTCAGAGGAATTGAGAGACGGTGACGCTGAGATGAAGAGAGGAAACAACCTAAGTGGCCAAGAAAGGCTCTTTTGGGATAAAGAAGACATTTCATTGAAGGATATTATAGAGAAGTTTAAGAAAAGAAGGCTGAAGTCAGCTGAGAGGAAGGCTGAAGGAGAAATCAGTGAATTTGGAAGTTCGAGTATGCGTGAGGCAGAGAAGTTTGGGGAGATGGTGGTAGCAAAGGTCTGACATCGGTGGTTAAAGTTCAAATCAACAAACAGTCTCCTCTTAATGAACTCTGGTGGGAAAAGGAAGGAGTGGAAGGAGCTGGTGGCCTGACGCAGCAGGATCAGCAGGAGGGGACGATGTCAACGAAGGACACACAAACACACCAGAGTAAAAGGGAACCCGGTGGACAGTGCAGTTAACTCGGAATAAGAGTCTCAGGTAGAGGAAAGAAGTCCAAGAAAAGAACAGAAGGGGGTTAGCTTTACAAAGGAACAGGAATGCTTTTTTCCCTCTGAAAAGGGTTGAAGATGAAAAATGACAAAGAACATTCTTGGAGCTTTTCCTTTGCTCAGAGATATAAGACGCTGTCTGATTTGCTGAAAGTTGGGGAATTGAAGGGAAAAGTTCAACTTCTGCCTATTTTAAGAATGAATATTAACTCAAGGCTGGAATTTAAATAAATAACTCATATGCCATTTTCAGACATTGAGTATCTCAATAAAATTTTCTACTGTCCCCAAAGTCCTGACTCTGTCATTTAGATCAGTGATTTTTAACCTTTTTTGTAAATCTCAGGGCACATATAAACTAATTACTAAAATTCTGTGGCACACCAAAAATATATATTTTTTGCTGATCTGACGAAAGAATAGGGAGGGTATAATTTTGATTCACTCATACCGGATGGCTATCATTGTGTTGGCTGTTGTCGTATTTTTTTATTTGACAATCTAAGGGAAAAGAGGTCAGTGCCCTTGACTAAATAGTCAGGTGTTGTGTGTAAACAGGCTTTGTGGAACACATGATCTACCCCTTTAAAAATTTTTTATTGATTTAATGTTTTCACGTATCCCTTTAAAAATGCAGAAACCATTCTTAGCCTATTTGTCCCATTTTAAAAAGGTGGATTTTTCCTGTGGGTTATAGTTAGACAACCTCAATTTAGATCACTGGTGTCATAGGACCTAGCTTGGGTATCATCTTTATGACAAAGGAAAATGTGTCATTAGTAGAAGTGTACATTTGTAGATTTTTCTGTTGATTACTAACACAAAAGGCTTACTTTTCCATGCTACACCCCATCCCCTTCACGAATTAGTCCAATGTCTTGAACTACATACAGTTTGTGTTTGATCAATGTTGACAAACTAAAAAGGTGATTAGTAGGTTACCTCAATTCCCACTGACTGGTTGTTCAGATCAACTACAGGCAAGACATCGTGAGGTCTGTTGACCAGCCACAGGAAGATGCCAACTCCAAAGGTCAGGATGAAGATCAGTGCCGGGGTTGGAAGTGGGGAAAACAAGAAGTTAAAGATAAAAAGCATCTTTGTGAATAGTAGCAGGAAATTGAGGCCTTAAAAAAAAAGAGAAGGAAACAAAAATGTTAGAGGAAATGGCTATATCATTTTACTCAATCATTCTAGGTTTAAAGAAGGGGACACACCACACACACACACACACACACACACACACACACACACACACACGGCTTCTACTCCTTCAGACAGTCAGGGTTAGACTTTGCTAGTAGCAGAATTTCTCCCACTGCATACCTGAGCAATGTTGAAAATAATAGAATGCATTCTACCCCCTGCTACTTGACCGTCCTCCCACAAGGTGGAAAGGATCAAAGGAAGCAAGTTAATCATTTCCTAGACAATTTTGAGAAATGACCATCCTTTCATTTCTGGTCCATAAAGCCTAGAAGCCCTTCTGAGGGTGCTCCAGAGATCTTCCCCCTACTCGGGCAGACCGAGGGTCAAGAAGGACTCTTCCAGCTGCATTTCCTTAGTACAACCCAAACAGAAGAGGGAACCTCTGTAGGGGTGACACCACAGATTTCAGAAATCAAGCGATCTGCATGAAGGACAGATATGCCTTGCTCACTGCTTTCTGTTTGGGGTTGGTTTTTTTTTTTTTTTTTTTTTTTTTGTAAGCATCAGGAGGGGCTCAGAGATCAACAGCATTACAACTAGCATGTCCAACATACTCTCCTCTGGGGAGTCAGGAGGAACCATTTTTCCTGGAGGCAACATCAGTTAGGTATGCAGAAATGCTGCTGGCACATGGGCCTGATGCACAGTGGCAGGTGAGCGTTGAAGATTTCAGCCAGGAAGAGATCTCAAGAAACCAAAAGCAACAAAGGCTTCTTCCAACACAGCTTTTCTTGTAGTTTCCAGCCAAAAGGGACAGCTTGGAACGACTCTAATAGAAAGCACTAAAGTTTGGGCAGGTCTGAGGAAGTACCTATCACCTCCCAACTTTCACACAGATTAGCATAGTAACAGCAGCAAACACATGCTATATGCCAAACCCTGGGCTTGTAACAGAAGGAAATGCTGTCTCTCCAACTCCATCTTGTTCAAGCCTTTCTTGTTCCTCTGGCCACCGGACTAGTAGCTTCTGCTTTATCTTGCAGCTTGAGATTTACAGGAACAGCCCCTCCCATTTCCCCTTCTTTTGACATAAAAGAAGCCTGAATTCTGTACTGTCTTGAGATGGATTTGAGGAACCATTAGGTTTCCCATCTTGTCAGTTGGTGCCTTCTCATCAATAAATCTTTCTTCATGCCCAATTCTGACGTTCTGAATTTTGACCGTTCGAAGTGTTGGACCCACAGACTTTGGAGCAATCACAGGAAGAGTTTTCTGCATAAATTACCTAATTTAATCCAACCAGTGTCACGAAGGAGTATTTTACAGACAAGAATATAGATGCTCCCAGGGGTAAAGTGACTTGTCCTAGTTCACTGACCGTTCCCATTGCTACTTTCCCAGTAAACACTATAAAACCACAACTCAGTTTTTCCTTATAGAGACCAGCCACCAAGTTCAAGGAGACTGGATTTGTCTGGCACCTTACAGGAAGTTCAGAACTTGCATTCTTCAAAATTTACTCCAATGACTTAGGGGACAGGACCTCAGAAATGAGGCCAAACATTCTCATTCAAAATCAAGACAGTACAGCTAGCCTCACCCCCCAAAAAAAGTTTTATCAGCTCACGATCAGAGTCGCCCTTTGACCTGTGGGGCAGCTGCCACTAGCTGGCATCTGGAATTTTTTCCATCCAGGAACACGCTTCACACCATGCTAACCAAGGCTTTAAAACTTAGGGATTTTGTGTGGGAGCAAGAACAGTCAGTCCCAATAAACCCCAAGTCACTCGTCATTTCTTCTGTCCTCTAATTGGTTATCACCTGAATTTAGAATAGTCACTCTCCATATTATGGAGGAAAATTGAACTTCCAGAGATTGGGATGACTGTCTCCAGTTCCTTGGTTTCTTCCACATTGTGTTTAGGGGAAGGAAAGAAGACAAAACAAAAACAAAAGCCAGGCTCCACAGGGGCTAGCTTATGTAACAACAGGTGCTGTTGTGACTGCCGGCCAGGATTCTGAGAGCAGGGATTTTCTGAATCCGGCCTTACCTGGACTTGTATGGTGAAGCGGCCCTCCAGGGGGCAGAACCTGCTCAAGAGCCAGCCACACAGAACCCAATTCTAAGGCCGGCCACCCCAACCCAGGCCGAGAAGGGGAGGCTGTGAAGTTGACAGAGTGGACAGCAGGGCCACAGGGAGGAGAAGCTCGCTGTGCGCTCACTCATCAACCCCTCCCTCAGCCCCGGACACTGCCCAGGCTGGTAGTACCTTATGCTCTAGGATTCTCCTCTCTGCCCCAATGCCTCTGTCAAATTAAGAGATTCTTACCAGCACCCCCTTCGCAGCTATGGGAACACATTGTTGCTTTGGGGACTTTGCCCTCTTCGTACAGATGGCAGATTTAATGAAATACTTGGCAAACAATGGCTTTAAAAGACAGTCTAAAGGTGAAATTTATGTTCAGCTGTGGCAGTATGGGATGGGGGGAGGAAGGGTGAATGGCATGGCAGGTACACAAAGGAGAGAGAGAGAGAGAGAGAGAGAGAGAGAGAGAGAGAGAGAGGCATCACCTGCTGTCAACCTTGACTGATTGTTATCATGTAGTCATATGAGCCTGAGGTCATCAGAGGGTCAGCTTTTTTTTTCCTCCCTAGAAAACCTGAAACACTGGATTTTCATGAAACCTCAGGTTTAATTATTGGCTCAAATAGTGAGTGTCTGGTTTGGGATGAACAGAAACACATGTGTTTTAATGTGGGCGGTAGTCTGTCAATCAGCGCTGTTTTTAGACATATTTCAGTCATACTGTCCACAGATGGAATGAGACTGACCACTTCCTCACAAACAAGAGATGTGTTTATGAACGCCAAGACTGGTTTCAGAAAGTGAAAGTAACTTGCTCGCCCTGGATCTTGGAAGACACTGAAGGATGTACCTAGTTGTCAACTGAGATAGTTTACTTTCCTCTTACTAACCTGGAACCCAATTCAAATAGAAATTCACAGACTTTCAGACGGTCCCTCCCTGCCTCCCCACATTTAAAACAATGGAGGTAAAATTCAAATAACATAAGATTAATCATTTTAAAATATACAACTTAGCAACATTTAGTTCATTCACAATGTACACCCATCACCTCTAGAAAGTTTCAAAACATTGTCATCACCCCAAAAAGGACATCCTGTACCCATTAAGCACTAACTCCCCATTCTTTTCTCCCCCCAGACCCTGGCAACCTCGAATTTACTATATGTTTCTATTGACTGGTGAATTCTGAGTATTTCATATAAGTGAAATCATATAATATGTGACTTCTTTCACTCAACGTAATATTTTTGAGATTTATCCATGTTACAGACTGAGAGATCTCAGAGGAGAGGGGAGAGGGGGTGCTGGAAGAGGTTAACCAAAGAACATATATGCATATATACAGAGCCCATGGACACAGACAATTATGTGGTGAAGGCCTGGGGGGTGGGGCTGGATGGAGGGGGATGAAGGGGAAATGGGGGACATCTGTCATAGTGTCAACAATTAAAAAAAATATTTACCTATGTTATGTATCAGTTCTTCGTCCCTTTTTATGGCTGAAAATTATCCCATCTTTTTATGGGCTTATTGGCCATTTGTATTTCTTCTGTAAAGAAATGTCTATTCCCGTCCTTTGCCCATTTTTAAATTGGGTTGTTTGTCTCTTTGTTGTTGAGTTGTAAGTGATCTTATGATTCACAAATATTTTCTCCCATTCTGCAATCTTTTCACTATCTTGATAGTCTTCTTTTTAAGGGCAAAACACATATTTTTCTGCCTTATAATGTGACCTACTGCTAGAGAGGTGCCCATATCATGTAGCTCTCGCTGTAAATGGGAGAAACTGAGGATCTGAGAGGAGAGACCATTGGGCTGGGTTACACCATACTGGATTGGGACGCTCTGGTCACCATCCTAACCTTTAGAACCTGTTAACGCTTACATGTGTGCTCAAACAAATTAGGAAAAAACCACCATCGCTTCTGTCATGTGGCCTGTGTCACTCAAATTACAATTCTGATTTGGTCACTTCACAGAATCCCCTGCCAGGAGCTGGTGTGGCGACACTTCCTCTTTCCTTTCTGTCACTCCTGGCTGGGAAAGTGTGGGGTGGGGAGAAGTGCAAGAGTGGTAATGAGAAGAGGAAAGAGAGTTGTGTTGTGCTGCCTCTGGGAGCCTCTGGTCCAGGTTTCTAAAGATGGCTGAGCGAGCCACAGTGCACAGGAGGATGGTCCCAAGTGGGTGCTTCCTCCATTTTCTGATATGGTCATGGCAGCATGCCTCGGCCCCACACCCAGGATGCCCACTTGTCCTCGGCCATTCTCCTTGATTCACTCCAGGGCCCTCCATTGTTCAGTGGTGTGGATGGCCGTGCCCATGTTACTCATCTTCTGTCACCTAACCTGTTTATTCCCAAGCTGGCTGGAAGATGCCTTCTGCCTTCATACCTGCTAGCAAGTCCCAGGACCAGCCTTGGTGTCCAAGTTATGACCACCCCATATTCAGCTTTTGGTTTTGCTTCTTCGCAGATTTGGAACAGCATTTCTTCTTTGAGTCTAATTTTCTTTGGGTAATATCCCAAAATGGTCCCTTCTACCCTGACATTCAAGTTTTGGGCAACTGTAAGTTCATTTCTGCCTTAGAGCCTCTGTATCTGCTCTTCCCCTTGCCCGAAGCTGTTTCCCAGATCTTCAATGGTTGTGTGTGGCGTATAGACCTGGTCTCAACCCAGATGCCACTTCCTTAGAGGCTTGCTCTGATGCCCTATTTACTAGTGACCTTTTTACCACCGTCACTATCATGAATCTTGCCTTCTCTTTTCCAGGACACTGTTCACTATCTGAAATAGACCTGGCCCTTTATCATCCATTGTCCCTACTGAACTGATGTTCTAATTGGTAGAGGGATTGTTTTGTTCACTCCAGTGGCTCCAATGCCTGCACCAT